TGCGGCTTCTTTGATCGTAAACCATTAACCCGTAAACCTTTCTGCCGGTGACACATGTTGAATCTCTAGACTTACGGTACACGTTGGAAAACAAAACAGATGAAGCAGCTTTCTCCCGTTCGATTATACAGTTTCTTGCAGACTTCCTTCAACAAATTAACTGGCGCGTTCTTTTGTCTAAGGAACCCGGTGGACTTAAAATACCGGTCCAGTGGAATGGGCAACTCATACTGGTCTCTGCTTAGCCGAAGGCTACCGCAAAAAACGAGCATGCCTGACCAATGGCTATCGTGAATCGTGTTCCAGTATCACATTGAAAATACCAGTACCAACTACCGATACAAGTCAATGGTTATGGAACTACGGCCTTACTCTCTGTAAAAGGACACAGGACAGGGCAAAGTTGGTCAGACTGGTATATGAAACGTATATGACCGGTCAGCAGCAGCATTTGACTGGACGAGCAGTCCACATGCAGAACAGCATCTATATGTGTGCGTTTTGCCGTTTTCCTATGCTACTGTAGGTGATGGTCCACGTTTGTTTCGCAAGTCATTGTCATATTTCAGGCGAACGATGTTTTTTAGTGCCAGACGCCAGCGGCACATGGAAGGCAAACCAATGCTGAGTAAAATTAAGTGTCAGTAGCGCAAAATCAATCTCTCGGAGTTGGATTATTCTGAAGATATACGTTTACAATCACCGGATAAGCACGAACCGCATCATGCCTTGTTACGGTGACTGGAGTGACGATGTCACGCGCTGGAACGCCGTGGACGTTCTCCTCGACGACGGGCTGCTGCAGCACGGTGAGGTCGTTAACGTAGCGGAAGGTGGTCTGATCATCGACTTCCAGTTTGCCAACCAACGCGCCCAGTTTGTGGAATATGAACGGGTTTTCCAGTTCTCGTTATTTTTCGCACTTTCACCCCGCATCGGCGAACCGCGGGACGTGCAGGTCCTGCAGCGCCGCTATCCGGACGGCGCCTGGATGTGGTACCCGGGACGGACCGAACATTCCGACCTGCAGGACGCTAATCTAGTGCAAGTGCAACTCCCCGGGGGCGCCGTCACACAAGCGGTCCCCCGCGGTCAATTACGCAGACCGCCTTCTCCCGTGCGTTTCAAGAACCACTGCCTGCGGAAAGGTGATTTTGTGGTTCGATGTTGTCCGTTGCCCACGGGCTGGGTCAACGCATCTCCGTTGATTCGGCAGATCTTCAAATATAATTTATACAGAAGTTACCGTGTGTTGTTTACCTCCGTGCTCAGCCAGAATATGCTTTATTTGCAACGTTCAGGGCCCCATCCTCTGACATCACCGGTAGTGGTGAGTCACTTTCCTCCTCTTTTTATACCTCAGTGATGTACGAGTAGTTTTAGCCAAACAGTTTATTCGCTAATAACTACTGGCAAAAAGCCAGCGCCTCATGTATTCTAGAGAGTAGAGACTGAAATCACTAAACTAATGACATGGGATACATTCAGGACACCACTTTGAATTTTTAAGTAATTACTCTGTACTACTTTAGTATCTATCAGCGCAGGATTGTTGTAATTTTAATTGGATATCAAGTAGTGTACCGGCGCCTGCAATCATTGTTATCATTATTAAGTTAACTATTGCCGATTAAAGATTAATTATTGCCCGAGTAAATACAGTATAAATATGTATACCACAGGCACAGTATCGCAGTTAAAAGATGTGTGCGTATCATTTCAACTGCTTACGGTCAGAAAAAATGTTTGATCCTGCAAACTGGCCTCCTAACTTCTTAACATCGGGGTGCGTGAGTGGCTGCTCGTTCCCAAGGAGGCCCAGCAGTGCCCAGTCTGTGTTTACTATTTAAATTTTGAATCATTTCAAATAATTTCTACCTGCGCAAGCTTTTTTTGTTATCTAAATTGACCATAGGAGTTAAAGGATCGATGTAAAATTGACGAGCACTCTCTTCGTTGTTTTAGGAAAGCGTGTACAACATGGCACGGGGCGAGTTTGAACGTGGAGAATCGGAAATACAGAAGCTGCTACACCGGCAGAACATTCAGTTTCGGATACCTGCAGAAAGGTGTCTGCCGCTGCCGGCGGATCTGTTCGTGGAGATCTTCCGTTCACTGGACTCCATTGGGCGTATTCGTTGTCGGCGTGTGTGTCACCTGTGGAACCGTCTTCTCAGCACCGAGGCCTACTTTCCCGATGTGCGCGTGTCCGACGCCCATCCGGATTACGGTGTGCTGACCTTTTCTTATCATGGTATTTACTGGGCGGCGAACTGCTTGCTGAAGTGCCTGAGCAACCGCACCAAGATAGCGGTTATTATGAATGTTAGTGGAGAAGAATGTGAGCACCTGGCCGCTCTGGTCGGCAGGGTCCTCGCTCCGCAATGGATCCCGACATTGGTGTTCTACCGCTGTGAGTGGTGTTGCGCAATCCCTGGCACTGTGGACCGTGTCGTCGGCAGCGTTATTGGGGCGTTGGGGACGTTAACATGCGGCAAAGTGGTGTGGAAGGAATGCGAGATGGCTGAAGACTTTTTAACAGCTCATGTGCCGCTCTATACATTCAGCGACCCATGGAGCGACGAGATAGACCAGGAGCTGTGGGATCTCTTTGAGGAGAACCTCGTTCTGACGACGCCGCTAGACCGGTCAGTCGTATCGACATGCATCGCCGACACCCTGACTGGCCGATCCACCCGACTAGCGGCATCGGAGATTGCGCAGGTAAACTGGTTGTTGGTCGCGTTTGGGACGCAACGGTAGATACCAGCAAGGAAGTACGCCGGGAGAAATCCCTAAATTCAAATGCATACACGGGAAACTGCCGCTTCCGCCAACTTATTTGCGTACACGGGCGTGAAAACCGTTTGTCTGCGCATCGTCTGGTTCCGGAGTGAAAATTATAAACTGATAACCCGAAAAGCTCAAACGATCACAGGTGTACCAAACGTTTTGTTATGGACAAATCTCCAAGTTTTGCACCCGAACGCACCTCGGGACTTCGTACATAGGGACGATGGGGGTTGTTTCTAAAGTCGCCCCAAGATCATCGAATGTTTCTAAATAAATTTGATTTTCAGAAGTTTAAGGAATAATTTTGTCACTTGATTAAAATGACACAAGCCTGGTTCGGTGTAAAAGTCATCTCCATGTTAGAAGCTTATCTGCGTTTACAAACAAAACTTGTCGAAGATCGGTCCATATTGAGAATTCTCACATTCCGGTACACCTGCTTGCGCTTAAGGTTTCTGCAATATTTCATCTTAACACCCGAATCAGATTTGTACGTCCACACAGGCGATTGGTACGCCGATGTACAAAAACCATTTGGCTACAGAATGGGTGATGAAACCGTCACTGCGTACCGACCGCCGACCGGTGTTTGGAAGCGCGCGAGAGCGATAGTTCCCGCGTGCGCATTTGTACGGTCCATTTTGGCAATATGCACCGGCACATTTTCTTCAGTGTCGCATCAAAGTTTCCATGGATGGCTGTGATTCTTTCAGGCCCTGAATGAATACCAGAGCGAGGATCCGCGCCCGACCACTCAGTATCGCCAGCGGCAGTGGACGGAGGCGACGATCGACGATTTGGATCCCGGTCAGCTGACCACACTGACCGCAGCGGCCTTGAGCACACGATTGCGGTTGGGTTGATGAATTGCTGATGCAGATACAGGCACTGTTACGGCAAGTAAACGGCAAGACATCACGTTTAACTAAGAAGTCAATTTTGCGACAAAAAGTGCCTCTCTGTTCAGCAAGACTACCCGTAAACTAAACTAAAATCATTTTAATACGCTAGCGTTAGCTAAGTTTTTTTAACTTCGCCGGTAGGAGCAAGTTTTTTTAATAGCACAGATGTGGATAATTTTGCCCGATTTAGTAACGCGATTTTGTATGCACTTGCCGTTGCAGGGAAGACCAGGCCGATTGGGTTGGACATGTCGACGCAGTTCACGTGGAGACGTGGACACCCCGACTTCTACACGGAGAGCGGGTTTTTCGTTGATGATGGTCGTCGTCGTCCGGGGGCGAAATGTTGTGGAGTTTTTGTTGTTGTTAAGTTGTCATTGCCACGAAAATTTTACCGATTTTCTGGACTGTTGTTCAAGTATTGTAACTGTCTAGTGTCTACTATGTCTTTAAACAAAAATAAAACTGTCGGAATGGGGAGCCTCTGACCGGCGCCTGGTAAGTAAAGATTTAACACTGTGCAAGTTGTTACATTGGGTTGCTCGGAAATCTTAACGCAGTACTGAGTGGGAGAATTGTGTCATACGAGAGGTAGCGCACTAAAACGTTTATCACGGCATTGTTACACTATCCTGATCGCTTCCTTGACAAATTAGTGAGTCGCCGATGTCCGCCGTAAACCGTAAAACGGGCACCGCTTTTAATCGAGAGTACAGAGTTAGACAGAGCGTGTGTCTAACGAATTTCTGTCTGCTCCCTTGATTAAATGCGTTTTACGGCGCCCGGTCGCCTGCCCAGGCGGACTTCGCCGACTCACTATTATTAGCCCGCGGATGCGAAAAATGCCCGAAGAGGAAAAAGAGAAAATTCCTGCTGTAGTACCAGGTGGGAAAGTGCACCCGGCGACCCGCTCACGGAATGGCTGAAGCGCACAAAAACGATACGAGTAGATTTAGTTTTTTGTTGAAACGGTGGGTTTAGTAATTTTTTACCTTTCCATCCCGGTGTTTATTAATGTGGTTAAGCACGTGTGGAAGTTTGGAAGTTTTGAACTTATGGTTTCGGTTTCCGGCCACAGGAAGGCCCATATCTAATCATAAGTTATAAGTACGGTACTATAGTACGTGCGCGTCGGCGCGACTTATTAGCGTCCATTAAATGAGAAATACGTTTGATAAACTTTACATCTGCATTATTTAGCCACAATTATATCATTTCCATGATTAACTGCTTATCATTGCGACGCTTATTGCTAGGGCTGCACCCACAAACGAACGCAGTAGTCAGTTGCACACACCACGCATATCGCGACTTCCTGCAAGAGTGTGGTTCAGTAAATCCAGTGCTGCCTTCTTGAGAACAAAACGGGATCAGCGCACTCATGGCTACCAATTCCGGTTTTGCCGACGGCAGACCACAAAGAGGTTCATCTGTACGGACGGCGATGCTGTCTACCCAGTTTAACAAGACAATCCAGGACATGCGCAGCAATCAGATTCTGTGCGATGTGGTTCTCAAAGGGATGGACGATGCAGGCGAGGGCATTCCTTGTCATCGCAGTATTCTCAGCGCGCACAGCTCTTACTTCCGGGCTATGTTTTCCATCGGCTTAAAGGAGTGTGTTGAAGACGAAGTCCGTCTACAAAATATTCCCATTAGCATCCTTAACACGTTAGTCTAATATCCGAACTAATCTGATTTCACGAATCTGTCATTGCGTTTTCACAGGTTGCATTGTGCTGCAGGTTAATTGACTACTTCTACTCATTTGAACTCGTAATCGATAACAGAAACGTCCACGAAATCCTTGCGGCAGCCATTTTTCTGGACGTTCACACCTTACCCGACACGTGTTTCGAATTTATTGAGCAGCATCTGGATCAAGCAAATTGTGTGAAAGTATTTCGCTCGCTTCATTGTCAGACGTTTAGGCCAAACCTCTGTGTTCATGCCGAAGATTTGTTTCTGCAACACTTCGTTGAGATTTCGCACAGCGCAGAATTCCTGGATCTCGATAAAGATAAGGTTAGGCACAAATACAGTTGTGAAAACCTTGCGGTTTTTTTTCGCCATGAAGTTCTGATAACCTAACAACGAACAGGCGTTAACCAAGGCAAGGCAGAGTGTTCAGCTTGTTATTGAGATGTTCAATTAATTTCTGGAGTAGGTGATGGAGGTTCTTGTTTCCGATGATTTGTGCGTCGACGACGAGGACGTTGTTCTGACAGCTATTATCCGCTGGATAGAACACGACCTTCCTACTCGGCGACAACAGTCGTACGAGATTCTGCAGTCGATTCGGCCACTGTTTTTGCGTCCGCCATCGATTCAACGCTTTATCCTTGCTATGGTGAACGCAACCAACGATACAACTCTTCACAAGCATCTGGATGAGTCTGGCTATTTACATGATCTTCCAAATTCGCAAGGTGATGCCAGTTCCGGAAAAAGCCGCCCTCGCATCTTATACGGTATTTAAATTTTTGTCATATAAGTTATACGCGCCAGGAATATTTTTATTTGCAGTTTATTTATCATGCAATCGAAAAATTTCTATTTGCGGGGTCAGTTTGCTATGCGCCCGAAAATTTGTCGGAAAAAAACCGTTATCACTACTGCACATGTAATAATTACTCTATCGCATGTCAACGGCGGTATGTAATCGTTCTGCCGGAATCCGGCAGAATAGATGGCGAAATCGGCGGAATGGTAGATGCTGCGTAAACTTTCTGCAAAACTGCATCAACCTTTCTAAAAATACACATCAACAATGATACGGACTAGATTCTGTTTCATTCGCTCAGCCCAAAAATTTATTAAACAGCTTTTGAACTTACTGGTTAGTTACTTAATCTGTTAGACAACTTCCGTTAATGAAAACGACCGTACCGTTTAACGAGATGTTATATCGCTTTTACTGTTGGTGTAGTTGTTGTGTTGCTTCTAGAATAATTCTGGTAGGCTGAAAGATGTACAATAGCGGTAGCCAATTTCTGGGTGCGATGCAACCTGAACACCCGCTATTGGTAGGCATTTTCCGTGCGCATAGCAATTTGACTATGCGCCAAATTTTCGTGGAGCACAGCACTTTCGTCACATTTTTGGGCAGTTATTTCGTTTTTTTACTAACCAATATGCTTGATAAAAGGGAGGGACGTTATCGTGTGTGCCGGAGGTGTGAGCCGGGAATGCATTGTCCGAAACGTTGATTGTTTCGACCCTGCTAATCTGATCTGGACAACACTGAAAAGCCTACCACAAAGCGTTTGCTACGCTGGTCTTGTTAAACTACTCTAGACAACGAGAAGATCCTTTTGTGCGGCGGTTACCAGAAAAGTGGCTCCCAGAAAGTGACTTTCAAGCATGTATATGTATATGACCCGTTTTCAAACGACTGGGAAGAGAAAGCGGGAATGCAGATGCAGCGAGGTGCCCATGGTAGTGCACTTCTTAATGGGGCAGTTTATGCTATGGGCGGGAAACAATCTGGTGGTGAAGTCTTACAAACGGCAGAACGGTACATTTATTCAGCCGATCGATGGGAGGAGGTTGCGGATTTGCCCATCCCACTTTTCAGTATGGGTGTCGTGCCGTTCAAAGGCCGGATATATGTGTTCGGTGGACGGACTGTAGCTGATAAAGTTTCCAACTCATCTTTCTGCTACGATCCGGTTGATAACGCCTGGTGTCAACTGGCAAACTTGCCCACACCTCGTTTTGGTGCCACGGCATGCGTTAGCCCAAAGGATTTGTTGTACCTAATAGGTAACCAATTTAGTAAAGCGGCATTCGATGTTTTTCATTAATTGGTTATGCGTTTCCAATATTGATTTAGGTGGAATCAGTGGTGCCTCTGCCAATCAATCGATCAGTGGAATCAATCAATATAAGGACCTAAGCTGCCTTTCGTGCGTGGAAGTGTATGATACTAGCACAAACCAGTGGAGCCCAAAATGTAAGATCAATCGTTCTCAAGCATTAATCGGTCAAATTAATTCTCTTGTGTTGGCGCTGTTAAAAATATTGAGAAACTGCTTAAATGATTCGCAGTTGTTTGTTTCCAGGCAGTATGAACAAAATGCGCAGCTACCCCGGAGTCACGGTTGCGAACGGCAAAATTCACGCATTAGGAGGCTACGGCTTTGAATACGAACGCTCTGTTGAAATATACGACGAAACTTCAGATGCATGGGTTGTGCAGGGTAAACAGCTGCCGACTGGTAGAAGCGGATTTGGATGTGTCACACTTCGCGTCAAGAAACCATGAATAAAATGTAAACGACGAGTCGAGGTCATTTGCAGCACAGCTTTGCCTAAAACACTGGGTACAAATGTCATTAGTCGATAGTTATCGCATCCGCATGATGTATCTGTACAGCATAATGTGTCTGTCTGGAGCGTTCGCCTTTCGATGTGCTGAAAACAATGTTTTTCGTTCGCATTTCCTCATGTTCTTCAGAGAATAGCTTAATTGTAAAAATTCATTGAAGTCAGTATGTGACCTTTGGACAGTACCATGTCTTAACTTGAGAAGAGCTGCTGCAAAGAATTTATTTGTGAAGGGAAATGTTATCGCTCCAAGTTTTGTACTAAATTACGGTACCGGTACCCAATACAGTGTTCTATTGGCTCCAAGATATCGCGGACAACTGCAGCTTCCGCAAGTACGATAATTCAAATTTACTCCAAATTTAAATACTAAAAAAAAGGTAAGGATAGTAGTACGTATATAAATGGAGGAGATATTGATGCACCTTACTGCCTAATGTCTAAAGACACAAGAATGCGAAATTGAGTACGAGTGTTCTATGAATAATGTCCGCAAACCGCATTAGCCACGGCTCGTACCATTTTTCTGCTTTCATTTGAATGTTTGGGCCCAATACCCTTTCAACCAACTAAACAGCCACCATAGAAATACGAATGCGAATGCGTATGACGAATGACCACAAAAGCACAAGCAAATAGCCCACTCGGAAGGGAAGCTCAAAATAAAGCAGAATAACGATCCGCTGTTCCCGTTGGCGTCCGTGGGATGAGAAAAAAGCGATGTTCAGCAGTGCTGACAGAAGCATTTGCGGGGATAGCCCACGCAGTATCCATCGCTCCGCTGGATGCAGTAGGCGCTGCAGTCGGCGTCCTCGCCACAGGACGGTCCACGCACGCAGCACGCTAGCCGCACCATCATGCGCGCGCCCGTGCCGATTGTCGGAACAGCTTCGTCGGGCGCCGGAAGCGCGGTAATCACGGCCATGCACCACAAGAGCATACAGACTATCCAGATGGTGGCAGGTAGCACACCTTGCGCAGCCATTGCTACATCAGTCACACAAGGGACGGAAGCGGTGCACTGTGTAGACTGGACCGTCGAGTACACTGAAGCTTATAACTCGGCGTACGTAAACGATATGGATTGTCAGCTTGCGGTGAGGGAGCTGCATTTTAGCAAGGTTTTCCCCGTGTGTGTGGTTTGGCGATCATATCGCTCGGCAGATCAAACCGTTACACAGGCATCGTGGGACAAACGTTGTGCTAACGCGAGTACCGACCGGCTGCTCACTACCGTAATTACTTGCTGATTATGTAATACATGCACGCTTGTCTCAACAGAAAAAATCTGAACGCAGAAAAAGTTGTAAAACCGGCGTGTGCCTCAACAATTATCGCACACATAGTGTCCTGGATTGCCGATGCAGCGGGCCGTTGCAGCCTGGCGTGTCCGGCAATAAGCGGCGCACTCTTCGTGGCTGGCCCACCGTTTATTTCCTGAACATACTCATGTATACCACGGAGGAGTGCTTCGTGCCGGTGACACTGGCAGCCGGTCTTTATGTTTGCGCATGCGGTAACAGCATCGTGGTGATTACGTTCGTACATGTGACGGTAAGAAGAATCCACAGTAAAGATTGCTGATGGAACGGACTCATAGTTGGTACCTGGAGTACAACGTATTCCACCCCTGGTTTGGGAAATTACTGACTGTGCTATTTAGTAATTATGACTGTGCTAATCAAGCTTGCTTATTCGAATAAATAAACAACACTGCTCAGGCGGAAACCCAGCGTCAGTTGACTCAAAACGATCAGCAGTATTACTGGTATCAGCATGCAGTTTGCGCGTATATCTGTACAACATGCACCAAGTAACAAACAATTTAAATAACGGGCAAAACCGCAACAGATTGATGACATGGTGTGATTCCTTGACATCAGTCTTACTCACACTTCGCTTATAACTACACAGGCTTGCTGCTTTAACCATTCGCCCTAGTGCAGAAAAAGCTCCGAAAGGTCAAAGTGCACTCGTACGAGAAAGGCATAAGCTGCCGTACCAGGTTTTTCTTTGTGATTGCCTTGGCGCTGCAGCGACGTTTTGCCGTAGCAGAGCCATTATCCGGTAAAGCAGGCAGTTGTAACTCGAAGAAGATGGCTATCGGTGTTTGTTGCACGATCATGTTAACTGATAATGAGCGCGGCTAACGCCGCATACAGTGACAACTAACGCAGTAAGCAGAAAATCTCCAACAACGTAGTAAAGAGTTATTTTTACCAATTTGAAAATTCCCTATGCCATCATGTAGTGATATGGCAGTAATTCGTAATTAACAAAACCATGGCGTTTTTCGTTTGCGGATTATTAATATTAACAGTTGTCGTTCACAGCTTCAACAGTAAGTACAAAATATACTTCATATTACGTTGTCTTATTATTTGATCGGCTCATGTGGAACTGTCTCGTTTCTGCAGTCAGCAATGGATTTCGTTTGCTGGATGAATACTGCGGCAGCACCTTGTCACTATATTCCTGTGACAAGAACTATTCCGTCTCTGTCAACGACAGCCGCCAGCTGTCCTTCTTCAATGTGTCCGCTTTTCAGCGCTGCGCCGTTACTTTGGAGCTGAATGCCTGCAGTGATACACCAACGGCTCTGTATTTCAATATTCAGTAAGAATCATTATCCGACATAAGCTCGTTTGAGCAGTACAGTTGTTCGTTAGGGCGTACAAACTATTTCGCCAATGTTCACCGGATTTATGCCAGTGCGCCTTGACGGCAAAGACAGTCTGCTAAAACAAGGCAAAAATAGTAGCGATAATTGTTAATTAGGGAAGCGAATATAGCGTCGAGCGCTTCCGTCGAGATCTGGCAGATGGACCCCGTGCCGAGCGCCCTCGTCCTTCTGAAACGGATCCCCGGCGGCCGCAGTTCGGGAAACGTCAGTCCGCGCTCGGTCGACCAGTTCCTGACCAGCATGACCAGCCGCCCGCGGGTACTGCTGGTGTATCAAACCGCGGAGTACGATCGCAAGTACCAAGTTACCTTGACGTGGAGCACTGTCTACAGTAAGCTTTTTGTCTGGTTTAGGTTTCTAGCAGAAAAAACGGATTTTACGCTTTTTCAGACGACACACCCAGCGACGACGGGCCTGCGCGCGTCTTCTGTCCGGCACTGAAGGGCTACGTCGATCGGGATTTAATGTGCGGTCAGATGGAGACCGTCGTCTGTCCCAGTCAGTTCGATGCCAACGTCAACATACCGAATGCCGTTAAGGCAATGGATTTACGCGAATGCAACGACAAAGGTACACATAAAATGTTCGAGTCTTAATTAATGATACATGCTCACGTAAAACGCTTTTATAGATGAAACGCAGGTTGTTTTCGAAGAATGCTTCAACACTTCAACGCTGAACGCTTCCAAATGGAACATTGCCGACTACTTGGACGAGAGGGATTCGGTTAATGTCACACCGGAAAACGCGCAAATTATTAGCGGGCGCTTAGCGCTGTATATTCGAAATAACGAAGGGAAAGTGACGGTCGCGCGACTCAACACCACCGGCAAATTTCGCTTCCGCTACGGTGACGTGGAAATTCGCGCCAAACTTCCGCGAGCACCGCATCTTATATCGTGGAGCTCGTTCAGTCTGCTCCGCGCCGATTGCGACGCGTACTGCGAAGAAAGTATCGAGATTCTCAACGCCCGAAGTGACTTCCCCAGGCGCACCGACGCGAGCCTGTTCATTCCGTCGCCCTGGAAGCCGCTCGCCGAGGCCGTCAGCCACGATGACGATATGAGCGACGATTTTCACGTGTACGGATTATCGTGGACGGAGAAAGCGGTGATATGGTACGTAGATCAGAAAGAGGTCTTCCGTGTGGAGGTCACCGATACACCGCATTTTCCACGGTACTTCGCTGAATTGGCCATCTACACGAGCGCTGTAAACCAAACCGGCACGAGCGCCACGGAGTTGTCGATTGATTACATTGTGGTCCGACAGCGTAAAAGCGATGCCATCGAATTTCTGCCCGTACTATCGGCGACGACAGGCGTTCCTCCGTGGGTGTGGACATCGGCTGCCGGGTGCCTCGGGCTCGTCGGGCTCGTATTGGTGATTCTGGGAGCGGTGTGTCTAGTAAAGCGGAGACGCTCGGCCGGAATTAACCGGCTGCTGTTTTCCACGGCCCTCGTTCCGGGAAATTTGGAGGTCGTGTATGAGAATACGGTGTGCGGTAAAATGTGGAAACCGATAACTAACGTTCCGGAGATTGCCAAAAGCGATTTGCACTTTGGTACGTAACGACTTTCCCTTTCGGTTCGTAATGAAAAGGCAGACAGCTTTTGGAATAACAGTTTATTGTAGACAATGGAAATTGACTTTTCGTGATGTATGCAGCAAAAGAAAGGTCACTGGTTTTGTGTCACAGATAAAGGCATCCTGGGTTCTGGCGAGTACGGATTGGTCCGCAAAGCCGTGGCCACGAAATTGATCGGGTTTGGTAAAGCGGTCGTCGTGGCGGTAAAAAGCGTAAAAGACGTCAGTGATCCCCATCAGTATCGGCTGCTCACCGAGGAGCTTACGCTGCACGCCAAGATCGGCCGGCATCTGAATATTGTCAACCTCCTCGGCGCCGTGATGACCGGTTCGTCGTTTAACCAAAATCATTAACCGTCACTTAATAAACAAATATTTGTGAGACAATCCTATACGTACTTAATATTTTTCCGAATGCTTCCAGACGATTTGCTGCTGGTGCTGGAATTTTGCCGCTTCGGTTCTTTGTTGTCATACCTGCGCAACAGCGTTTTCGCTGCGCAACCAAAATTTCCCTCTACCGCTTACGTGAATCCTGTGTATCTGGAAATGCGTTCGTCCAAAGAAAAATCACTGGGGAAGAACCAGTTAACCGATGAGCAGCTAACGGGTTTCGCGTACCAGATTTGTCGCGGAATGGAGTACCTCTCGCAGCACTCCATCATCCACCGCGACCTCGCCGCCCGCAACGTGTTGGTGGCCGACGAGGGCGTGGTCAAGATCTGCGACTTCGGATTGGCCAAACAGAAGGCTGATTATTACGCCATGAGCAACACCACCGTAAGTGTACAGCAATAAAGTCATAGGTATTCGTATCCAACGTTCAGGCTTCAGCTTCGCATTTAAGCAAGCAGAATTTATTTAAAGAACCTGATTTGGAGAACCTTATTGTTTTCCTACAGTTAATTGGGAACTGGATGTTGTAGGTGGCCCTGCCGTTACGCTGGATGGCACCGGAATGTCTGCGCACCAAAGTCTTCTCGGAGAAGACCGACGTCTGGGCGTTCGGAGTGACGCTGTGGGAGGTATTTTCGCTAGGTGCCGCCCCGTTCGCCGACGGTGAAGCATCGCAATGGGACGTGCAGGAGTTCGTGGAAGCGTTGTGCCGCGGATTCCAGCTGAAACAGCCGACAATCTGTCCCAGCTCCAAGTAAATAAAATTTTCCTGAAAACTGCAGATCATATTTCGTCCATGAGCAATCGTTTTGTGTTCAAGGTACGAGATTATGCAGCTGTGTTGGAATTTGGAGCCGGTCCAGAGACCCAGCTTTAAAGCCTTGTGTCTGGAGATCAGCCCGCTGCTCAAACCGGAGACCAAATCGACGTACTTGCTGCTGGATGCGCCCTACACTAATTACAATGTCCTGTACCATAACGATGGAATACAAACGTATAAGGTTTCATAATTCTTTATACCGTTGGCGCTTTAATTTTTTATTTCGTTGTTGGCTCATTCGTTATATAAAGAGAGTATACTTTAGAGACAGAGGTTCATTATTAATTTTTGTGCACATTAAATAATTCATATGCTTGTTGCTGCTATCAAAGATCACAGTAAAAATCACCAAAACCAGCCATTTCGTCGATGAATCGCCGCGATAATTACGATATAATTCTGGACGATCAGCAGTCGCGGCAGTGGCAGCGCGCCGGATGCCCGCGACAGAATCCCTCGCCGGCGTGTAATTCGCTGCAGAACTTGTGGCAGTCCGCGTTGGCTGTGCAGGACGGGCGCTGGATGCCGCCGCCACACTGGGCCCGGGGCGTCATGATGCGGGGAAGGTCCGCCGGGTCGGCGACTGCTGCGTCTGCTGCTTGTTTATATATCAGAGTCACACACAGAAAAATCACCAAGACCAGCCGCATGATGATTCCGCAGCCGCACAGACAGCGGCGCTGTGATCGCTCAGCGCAACAACAAAATCAGCGTGTCAACACGACAGAATTGTGTTCTTAACAGAATCAATCAACGTTGTCCGCAGAAAACAACGAGCAAGCTGGATGTCTCCGTATAAAACAGCAGAAAAAGTATAGAAATTCCGTAAACAAGGCAAATGCAGACACGGAGACACAGAGTTATCGTTGACGGTCTTTCTTGAATCATATCGCTGCTGGCGCACGTGCTTGCATTTAATTGCCGGAAAATTCTCCTTGCAGGCATTTAATTACTGATAATCACAACAGTATGGCGATAATAATTGATGACTAACAAGCAACGTTACCGGTTAATTTCGTTAGCTCAATAGCTACCGTATCGTCAGTGAGCGGTTTTTCCTTGTACACTGGTTAGTGCGCTAGAAAGGCTGCCATTCTACGCACTTGATTACGTCCATAGTTTTCGACGCTATATCCGTTTGGACAGCGGCAGCGCAAAATGCCGGTAAGCACTAAAATTACTAATTCACTACAAATCGACAATGTATGACTAAAAAAAACTGATGCGTGGTTTGCGCAAACAAGCGTTTCTGTGTTCGAGCCCAATGCTGACGATTTACACGTACATGCGTTTCTGTCGCACACTCATTACTGCGTTTAATTAATTACTGGATTTCTGAACCGCAAATCAGCTGGCCAAACTTCCGCTTCTTGTTCGGCTGACGTGATTTCGGCCGTGCTTAAAAAAATGACGTGACTGGACAGCGCAGCTGCTTCTTAGCCGAACTCTGCGTACAGTACAACCAGCACGCTACCGGCACGCGCACCGCACGCGTAGCGCTCTTCATGCAGAGTTGCACACAATCGTTGTAACGATCGGCTGACTGACAAGTCGAGCCATCGTTATGATTATATGCGCAGTCAGGGAAAAATGCAGAAATGGCCGCAACTGGAGCGAAGGGCGATTGAGCGGGGAAGCGCACACGGGACACTGCAGATTTCCCGCTGATTTCCTGGAGGAATACGCGCTGAAGACGGGATGAGCGGGGCAGAAGACAGGAAGAAGACGGCAGCCGCGCCGTTTACTCTGCCCCGGCGCTGATCAAACGCTCAAGTCAAATATATTAACAGCCAGATGAAGAGCCACAGTCAATATTGCCCCGCACAGCAGCGCCGGCGTTATTGCGCGGCACGCAATACAGAGTTGACTGCAGGCATTGCAACAATCACGCCGCTTTCGGTCAACATCATCTCCGTGTAGCGCCAACGCGGTGTGGCTCACATCGCCACGCCGTTGTTGTTTTACCGCCGCGCTGAAAGACGCTGATTTTATTGCTGATTTTATTTAAGCCGACCGCTCGATCGATATCGCAGTAAAACAATTAATTTTGAGCTATCGTTTCCCTGTTTCGCAACCGTGTTTATTTTCGCTTTCACTAGCAGCAATATTTAGTAAATAAAGCATAAAGCGTACAGAATGAACATACAAGCTGCTAGTGATGATTTTTTTAAAACCACTACATTTTTTTGTTTTCCTTTTTCTTCGAAAAAAAAACATAACTATTAGCAAAAATTACAATAAACCTTGAAAAATTTACTTTTCAATACAGTTCAACACGCTAATTTTTTATTTTTTTACGAAGCAAATATAACGGCTTGAAGAAAAAAACAATAAAGTGGAGGCTACTGATTATTTTTTTCTCAACAGTTCTCTACAAATATTTTTTGTGCTTCCTTTTTTTATGAGAAAGTAAAAAAAATTAGTAAAACAATTCAATAAAGCACAAGCTGTTCATTTACTTTTAATACACCTTTCGCTACAGTGATTTTTTATTCTAATTTTTTTATGAAAAAAAAAAACTTGGTTGAGAAAAAAAGAAAGCTCATGCAAATCATCTTTTCTCAAACATTTCACTGTTTTTAACTATGAGTAAAAATAATAAGAAAGTGCCGGTAAAGCTCTGCCAACATAAACCGCGACGGTCTTTTTTATACTGGCAGAAAATGTAGCGCAATTGAGTCGTTTCGCGCTTTGTTGGCTGTCGCAGTGACATGTCAAAAAAAAGCACTCTCCCTCGTCGTCGCAACAGTCAACAGCGCCTGGGCGGCCAGCGTGAAGGATGCAAGTGATCATCGACATGCACTCATCCCGCACTACTCCCGCCAGACTCCCGAGACGGGCCTAACATGCGCCGCGCCACTTAGCGCCGGCATCCGTCATTTTTCCATATTTCCTCCCAAGAAGCGGGGCGGCGCTGGCAGCCGACCAATCAGCGCGCGGGCTGCGCGAAATGGAGTGCATTCACCTAATTCCATTGCCGTAATGAATTAACCGCGATAGCTGCCTGCCTGCCAAGGGATCGCGGGATATACATCTTGTCCAGTCTGTCTTCTTCTCCATTTATCCCTATCTGGTCCCGTCACTAAGCTGCTTTCCATCATCGCGTTGCCTTCCCCAAACAAATACACTATTATTCTGGCGTGTTTCGGGCTTTTATTTAAAGCTCTCACTAGAAAGCGCAAATATCGGCGTGACCTTTCCCGCGAGTGCCATATAGGAGGAGAAGATATTGATTGGTGTGTTTTTATAACGGGAATATCGTTGCTCGCTGCTTAATCAATAAGCGTTTGCTCTCTAATCGAAATAACATCCTCGTTTGAATCTATTGCGTGCTGGAATTATTTACTGCGATCGTTGAAAAATCGAGGACACACATTTACGGTAAGTTCTTTAAAACTCGTTTACTTTTTTGAGTGTTTCCAGTAACTTCTTAGGTTTACGTATGTTTTATGAGTTTTCTTGGATATTTCTTGGGTTGCTTACTTTTCTTAAAACATTTCTTAGGTTTCCTTAGGATTCTTGAATAGTTTCTTAGGTTTCTTAAAACCTGTTTCAGGTTACTTGGGTTGCTTAAATTCTTTTTCGGGTTCCTAAGGTTTCTTGAATAATTTATTTAGATTTTCTTAGATATTTGCTGAGAAGCCAACTGAGACGAACTGTATCAGAGCGCGTGTAGTTGTAAACTTGTAATTGACGCCAGAAGCGTGATTTGTGTCGTTTGCTGTGAGTGGGCCGGCGTTGCGTTGGGTTGAGTGGTTGTTAATTGGTGCTAACGAAGTGCCAATGAAGTCACTAGTGTTGCCAGTGTCTATTTGCACTGGCCGGCTAAGCTGTGCTCCTATGCGCTGAATGGGAGGGACGCGGCGTGATTAAACAGCCGTTGCAGCCACTTGAGCCGATTGTCTGTCACGACCAGCACCCGCCACACCGGAAACCGGGCTCATTTGCCGGCTTCCCTTTCACCGGGGCGACAATTACACCTGTCTGCCGTACCGGCGATCGATGGGCACTTTAGAGAACAGAGCCCGCTAAATTCCGATTAATTATTGACCGCTTCCGCCGCGTTTCCCGGCGATTATGACGTCACAAACTGATGGAATAATTTCTTTTCTATAAAAACTTGATTAATTTACCTTAAAAAACGCTAAACAAGTTTTGAACAAATGCAGAAAAATAGTGACTTGAAATTCCACGCAAATTAGTCCAGTAAATGTTACTATCCAAGTAGTGGTTTAACAGTATTTTAATATAGCTTTAATTTAATAATATTTCTGAATAAATTGCCCACATTTATCAGCTTTGATTTGGTGTTAGCTTGAAAAGCGTTTTGTTGGCACGGAATTAATATGCAACGTTTGCATCCAATTGATCGGATTCTTAAACACAAAGCGTTTAATAAAATATTCACGTTAATGCGCTAACGACATCAGTGTATTGGTTCTGCCCAATCCCGCGCAGTAGTTAGCGCCGTTAGAATAATTCGCACATTGCGCCGATTACTGCCGATCCTCGCATTTTGGGATAATCCATGTTGTCCCGCGGCTAGCCGCTGTATTTCCCCTGAGCAGCGTGCGCCACTGCACTGCAGCGAAATGGCTTTTAAGTTGCATCGATCCCTGGATTCCCATTTGCATCCCGCTCCCGGGAGCGCCCACCGGAAATCTATGCGGCCTCCTCCGCTTGACCAGCGGATAGCGCATCCGGCCGGGAGGACATGTTGCGATTAATCCGGCCAGCGCGGTCATTAACTGGGACAGGGATAATGTGTACACGCATGTCAACATTCCATTACGCCGCTGCTCCACTTCATCCCGCTTCTGATAGCCGCGCACACTCAATTACAAGACACTCATTTCCTAAGCCGGCAATCCTTAAACAACTACATCCATTGCTACATCATCCCGGCAACATTAACCGCTATTCACCCGATGAATAACGACGTTGCTGCAGTTCTCGGTTAAAAGCAATTTTTATTCACAATTCCATATTTATTCTCCTACAAAAATCGGGAAATTACTAATCTAATTTTTCTCAACAACCGATCACTTGCGCCATATATTTTGAATAATCTTCTACGTATTATAATTTCCTGACCGTGCAAAACATTTTCGTAAAAGAACCGTTTTTCAACAACCTCATTTTAAATTTGACTTTTAAACATAAATGCGCTAACTACAAAATAACTACGTAACTGAAATGCTCCTATAAATAAACATTTTATTCAAAATTTCATTTTCATAAAAAAAGTTGCGGCTGTCTGAAAAAAAAGACTTTACTTCGAATGCTTTTAATATTTTCAGCAACATCCACATATTCCAGTTTTCTGAAGGAATAAATAAATTTCTTTTTTGTCCCGAATTTTTATTTTAGATATTATCTGCATCGAACTGTATTTTCGTAAATTACTGGAATTTTTAATATATTTTAGCCTTCAGAAAGTTGGAATATATAGATAGTAAATCGTGTAAAATATGTAGCGAAAGTGACGGGTTATTGAGAAACGCCGAAGTCCTGTTTTATATAAACAAACTGTGCCGGTAATTGGGCGGCTGCGCGGAGAAATGTAGGTCTGTTTGTTCTGGCTGATGGCGCATATATATATTTTCTTGTATAAAGTATATACAGCGTTCTGACAGTGGATCCATTCCGCTGCATATATCTGTAGAGATACAGCGTAATGCACTGCACTTGATCATGCATCATTTCTGGTTGGGAAGACGCCGGGAAATCAGAGATAAATGGACGGGATAAAATGCCTGACCTGATTTCATTGGCCCGCTGACAGTGACGCAAGAGCGCAGAGATACACTTACACTCTGCGCTTTTGTCCGCTGGTGATTTTTTGTGCTTGTTGGCGGAACAAGGGCGCGTAATGGGACAAGTGCGTGGGCGCCATTGTCCGCTGGCGTGTCGCCGGAAATCGCCCGATTGTCCGCGCTGAATATGCAATGTAATGCGATCGCCTATCGCTGATGTAAGACGTTCCTCGACCGGAAAAGGTGCTTGCCTCGATTTACAGCGAGACGCTGCTTTATGCCGGCAACGCTTTTTTAGCTGCCTTCATCACTTTCCTTCAGAGAGGAATTAATTGCTGCTTTCTTCCAGGCGCAACGCAACACTCTCGATTTGCGCTGTTGTCTGTGTGCTCATCCAGGGAGCTGTATCGATCGGCCTGGGCTTTCCAGGATCATTCAAGGCGATCAATCGCACAACAGCGGAAAAGCCGATTGCGGCGCGGCAGGGGGCGCTGCGCTCGGCTTTGATTTATTCGCTCAATCATGCAAGAAAACAGTTAACTACATCTTCAGTCATCAACCTCCTTTGGTGAAGTGGTGGCGCTGCGATCGCAATTTTTTCTTATTAAAAAATTAATCGCTTACTTCAATTTCTCAACAACCGTTTTCGCTGTACAGATTTAAAACAGTTGACTCAAAAATGCTTAATTTCAGTTTCTTAACGCTTTTCTGGACAGTTTGCCTGGTTAGACTGAAAATGGATGGAGCTAAAGCGTAATCTCCAGATTTAAAAATCTTAGGATTTAAATGTATCGAAGTTATGTATGCCATAAGTAATTAGCACAACGCCCATTTTCTGAGCTATTTTCTAAAAATTGTGGCGATTTTTTGTCTAACGCTTTTTCAATAATATAACTGGCTAATCGGCCTTGTTCGTTGTGGAAATGGATGGCGTTCGAGCGCAAATCTCTCCATCTAAAAATCTTGTCGTACAAGTGTCCGCGATAAGATCTCCCACTCAGCTTCCGCACAAGTCAGCGTTAAAGTAGCGTTAGTGCCGATTTTACCGTTTTTGGGGCATATTGACGCCGGTAAACAGTCGCAGCTGACTCCTTTCACCAAAGGTCAACCGTCTTGACCCATTTTTTAACCGGCAACGTGCGCCGCACGCCGTGGTTAAAAATCCCTTTCTATTCACGTTTAACTCAAACCGGTTGACTCGTTTATTGGTGGGAGATTAATATTGGAGCGATAAATATGATGAGGAAAGAATGAGCCGGGATAATAACCATATATCCCTTCATTCAAACCGGGCTGCGTCCCTGGTTGAGGGTGGTCAATGGGCTTCTACAGACAATACTATTCGTCACAGATGAATTGACGCCAGTTGGTCAGCGCCGTTAAAGCCACTCGCTTACACTGTACATATTATAAATGCCGGGTGATTATCAATATTATTCCGCCACGGCCATAAACATTAATGCGCCCGTTCGAAGGGGCAAGGGAATCAAGGCAGAAGCAGCGCAACAGCTGTGGCTATTGTAAAACGCTGGTTTGGCCGGTTTTACGAGCGATAGAGTGTAGTGAATCAGTTGGTGGATTAACTTTTATCCTGACAGCTATTACAACGGCTAGAAAATATTATCTGCCAATATATTATTATCATCGGATCGGTAATGGCCGAATGGCAAACAGGTTTCCCGGTTTATTACCGATCCGGGGATTGTCTGCTGCACAATGCGTAATAAAGCGTTGGACGCGGATCACAGCCGGAATGTTTATTTGGACGCTGAGGCGTGTAATTACATTTTAAAGAAAAATCACTTAATAAATATACGAGAATTAAATCTATTTTAATTTGGAAATAATACCGTTTTAAATGTATAACGAGTTTTTGCAACTGGAAAATTAATAGTAAAAGATTGAAATCTAAAGGAATTTTTTATTCATTTTATATACATAAAAATAATTCGGTCAATGATTCGGTCAATGATACGTAATTTTAAATTTTTTAATCGCTTGCCAGTAACTTTATTCAAGCAATTTTGTAGGTTATTAATAAGCTATTTAAATTTTAAAAAAATCTTTCTCTTAATACAGTTCAGGGTAATAAAAGATTTCAAAGGTTAAATAAATGATTCATTTATTGGTGATTTTTAAAATAATGAATGACCTTTTCGCCGATTTTCTTGTGGCTATTTTTGCCGGTTTTCTTGCGAATCGCGCTGATTGGCCGATTCATAACGGCGCGCCTAGGTGTGCAGGAACAATCGCCGCGCGTCGAAGCGTGGCCGTTTAATTTCGCCTTAACCCCGGTCCCGCGCACCGGTGTCCGTGGGGGCGTGGCCTGGCCCGCCCCGCAGGGGAAATGCGTGAGAAAGAATGTGCTGTATGTAGATAGTGCAGCCTGACACCTGATGAAGATGGCACGGTGATTGCACGATGTGTATTCAGTGTGTGGCGATCAGCGATGATTGTTGTGATTAGCCGGATTGTTGGGCCAGCGTGTCGCGCAGCGTGACGCAGTCGCGGAAACCAATTAGCCAATTATAATCATTCCGCATAACTGATCGACGCTGTAGCCAGTCAGTTTGTAAACATTTATTCCCCTTCATTGGATAAAATTAATCGGGTCGCTCGCTAAAATAAGCCGATAGGGCAGTTTTGATTTTACACTTCCAATGCGCGCGCCATTTAAGTTAATTTATTCGCCGGAGAGTTGGTTTTTTATTTTTGCACAAAGCGGTGAGTGTGATTATTTGCGATTACTTCCAGCGCTTAGCGCACAGTTACCCAATATTGCGCTGTTATTTTTACGCTGATATACGTATTCGATTTATTTCGGAGTAAAAATTAAATTGTGCATTTTAATAAGTTTTTTCTAAAAATATTTAAAAACAAAATTTGTGTATTTTTTAATTCTTTTCGAATTCGCATTGCTGATTTGCTTCTTTCACCGACTTATTAATGATTATTATGTCTAAGACACAATTTAACAGCAATGAAAAATAACAACAAAATACTTGTATAACAGAAATTTTTTAAATAATTTCTGATTTTGCTATATGCAGATTTTTTAAATATTAGCTAATTATTAGTACAGCATTGATTAACTGGTAATAACGGATTTGAGCGCTGATGTGTAAACCAGTTGGATAAGATCTAAATTGCCGCGTGATTATGATAATGTCGTACGATAAGAAATCAACTGGATACAGTATGGTCTGGATGAGAATGTGAATAACAGACCGGAAATGAAATACTTTACCGTGTGGACGGGATAGAAGCGGGGCACGTTGTTTATTTTGATTTACGCGGTCGATTAGCGTGTCTGGACGGATTACTCTATGTATGTGCGCTAATTGAATGGTCCGATACAGCGTCGTTAAGGTTATCCAGTCGACAAGTTGAGTGGAAGTAGATTAGCCGCGCTCGGCGCATTTATAATGTAAGCAGGGAATAATCAGTGCTCACAAACAACCGACCGGCATCGATCGGGATCGATCAGTCGGGATTTCATTTAAATGCGCGATTTTTCTGATAGCTGAAATAACGTTTTCAAATTTTCTGCTTCGAATTCAATCGGTTAAATACGAAACGGGACTTCGAGAATTTGAAACGATTGCCAACGAAGAATTTATTTTTTTTCAAATTATTATTTCCAGTATTTTAGTTGGAAAAAAAGCCTCGACTAATTTAATTTGCGGCTTTATTAAAATCCAGTAGAATTACTCTAAAAAATTTCGATACTTCACTGTCATCACTAATTATTAATCTTTCATGTTTTTTATGATAATATTACCAGAAAATGAATTTGAAAAATAATTCGGAAACATATTGGAAAAAACATTGCGGATTTAATGGGAAATATTATACAAAATGTTCAGAAAATTAAAAGGAAATTGTGTTTTGAATTTTAACCCATTTGTTTTTACAGAAGTGGTTATGTCGACGACAACGTCCATCGTGCGCCGGTAGTGCGCTGGAGCTTGTTTGTATCCGATTTAGCCAAGATTAGCGCGGCAGGATTATGCCAACCGCACCCCGCTTGACCGTTTCCATCTTTTTCTATTTTGGCGCATAAATGATCGGGGCACCATGAAACCGCACAGTGCAGCATTCCCGCAGTGGACGACTGTGATATGCTGTATCTTTTCCTTAATCCTTTCCCTAACGGTAATGCAATCAAATGGCGAGAAAACATTCTCTTATAATTCCTCTTAATAAATTCCCTTATAATTAGGGAATAAGTGATTTTAAATATTTAAGTATTTACCTCAATTCAAAAAAAATGATTAGGCTGAATCTGCCAATTAGAACAATTGATATATTTATTTAGAGCATTTTTTAGCTTTTCAGAAAATTTATTTAACCAATTAATTTTTGCGTAGCCAATAACGTTGTCCGAATAACTGCCAGCCGCTGTATTTCAAAATTAAATTATTATATGAAGGATAGCTATTAGCACCTTTTAAAATTAATTTAGAAACTGGAATGCGTTCAAAGGCGACAGCAGCGTTACACTGCATGAATTGAACTCGATAATATAATTGCGATAAAATATGGATAATCCATCACAGCGAGAATGAAACTCACAGGCCGAATATAATTATATCCGCCAGATGGACACTGGTCCACCACTTGATTATACACTGCCCATCCATTACCAACCCACGCCCGCGGGCTGCCGTTGGCAATCACAGCCCGCATCAAATACTACGCACAATCATTTCAATACGCATTTATTTTCTCGCTACAGAGTGTCGAGTCGCGCGATGCCGCCGACGACGAGTGGCACCGGAAGCACGAGGACACCGCGGAGAACGCCTTGGGCAAGTGGCACCCGGACGAACTACTGAAGAATGAACTGGAGGAGGCCACCACGGAGCCGGCCACCGGGTGGAAAGCGTGGAGCAGCTGGAGCGAGTGCTCGCGGACGTGCGACGGTGGCGCCATGTTCCAGTATCGCACGTGCAGCCGGGATGACGGGCAAGGATGCTATGGCGAAAAGGTCCGCTACCGGCTCTGCAACACGCAGGTATAACCACGTCTTTGCGCCACTTCCGGTGACCTTTACATATGAGGAGATCAAAATTATCAAAATCACTTGAATTATCAATTATTTTATTAAATAATTAAACTAATAAATAATTATTTAATTATTGATTTTTTAAATAAATAAATAATTAGTCTACTTAATTAAATAATAATTTGTTTAATATAACATTTTTCTTAACCCTGTTCTAAACAAAATTAATTTTATCGCTGTTATATAAAGTATTGCGTTCAATCAGGTTTCAGTTAAGTGACTTATACAGTAAAAGAATTTCGCTGGTGACCTTTTGGTGTCATTCACAGAACTGTCCACCGGATGCCGTTGATTTCCGAGCGCAGCAATGCGCCGCCTACAACAACATGCGTTTCAAAGGCCGACTGTACCGCTGGCTGCCTTCCAAGAACACGGAGAAGCCGTGCGCTCTGACATGCGATGCCCAGGACGAGAGTATCACCCGCGAGATGGCGCCTAACGTCCTGGACGGTACCCGGTGCCGTGAGGGATCACTGGACATGTGCATCAACGGAATGTGCATGGTAAAATTTAATTTAATTTAATTAATTTAATTTAATTTAATTTAATTTAATTTAATTTAATTTAATTTAATTTAATTTAATTTAATTTAATTTAATTTAATTTAATTTAATTTAATTTAATTTAATTTAATTTAATTTAATTTAATTTAATTTAATTTAATTTAATTTAATTAATTTTTTTTTATAAATTTTTCTAGTCGGTCGGATGTGACCTCCAACTGGGCTCCAGCCTAAAGCTGGACGCTTGCGGAATTTGCGGCGGCGACGGCTCCCGGTGCGGCCGACCGTTACAGTACATCTGGCAGCAGACCAACTACTCGCAGTGCTCCCGCCCCTGCGGCGGCGGCTACCAGAGCACCTCCTCCTACTGCATCAGCACCCAGTCCGGCCTCGTGGTCCCGGAGGTCCACTGTGACCTTTCACAGCGGCCGCCCAGTCAGCTGCGCGAGTGCAACCAACACTCCTGCATCAAGCAGACCACGCCCTTCCGCTACCAGCAGTACCAGTGGGCCACGGAGTCCTGGGGCCCGTGTACGGCGGAGTGCAGCGGCGGGAGTCAGGCGCGACGGGTGTTTTGCCTGGAGACCCTCCAGAACGGGACGAAACGCCCGGTGGGGGACTACCACTGCACGCGGCACAACCAACCCCCCACGGAGCGGCGGTGCAACGTGCATGCCTGTCCGCAGTGGCAGACGTCGACGTGGTCGGCGTGCTCGGCCAGTTGCGGACGCGGAAGCCAGGTATTATTATTATTATTATTATTATTATTATTATTATTATTATTATTATTATTATTATATAAGCGTTTTTTGATTTTTTTATCAACATTTACAGGTGCGGACAGTAAAGTGTGTGGACCACAAAGGCTTCGACAGTTCGGCATGCGATAAGGCCCGGAAACCGGCCGATAAGAAGGTGTGTAAGGTGTCCTCCTCCTGCCCGCTCCCGCACCCTCCGAAGCCGGAGGACCGCCCCCATTCAGAGCAGGCCCTTCCGTTAGTGGCCCCCCAGGCGTGGAACGAGCAACCGCCTATCGATGTCGAAGAGGCGCTGAAGTACGAGGACGCCCCGATGTTCGCGACAGGTCCCTGGTCGGAGTGCAGCGCCACCTGTGGCCACGGCTACCGGCACCGCAGCGTCGAGTGTAAACTGTACATTCGGTTCTCGGTGAAACTGGTGCAACTGCCGGACAGCGAGTGCAACGACGCGAAGCCTATCGACCGGGAGCCGTGTAGTCGCCGCCCGTGCGAGGACGGCGTTCTGGCAATGCTCCCCAACACCACCACGGCGCCGGCGAACCTCTCCCGACCCAATGTCGGGATCGAGGTGACGTACTCCTGGCATTATGAGGGATACACGGGGTGCACCAAGACCTGTCTGGGAGGTGTCCGGCACGCGATTATCCGGTGCTTTCGGGACCACGACCAGGCGCCGGTGGAAGAGAAGTTCTGCAAGAACGTCGCCCGTCCCCCGGAGCTGAAGCAGAGCTGCAACGAGATTCCTTGTCCGCCACGATGGAACACCTCCGAGTTCTCCGCGTGTTCCCGGACGTGTGGCGGGGGCACCCAGACCCGGACGATCCAGTGCGTCCAGGAGCTTGGAGCCTCGGCCGGGGATGTCCTCCTCCTTCCGCAGTCGTCGTGCTCCTATCCGCCGCCCCGGGATTTCATCGCCTGTGCCAGCACCGACTGCGCACCAGTGTGGGACGTCGAGCCCTTCGGCCCGTGCTCCCGGACCTGCGGAAAAGGAATCATGGAGCGGAACGTCGTTTGCCGGCAACGCCTGGCGTCCGGAGACGTCCAGGACATCGCCGAGCCCGACGGTATGTAACGGGGCTGTTCGTAGGCTTTATTATGAATATATGTTAACGCGGATGTATCGTAGTTACAAGTAAGAACGATAGATGATGCCGCGAATATAACAGCACAATATATATTATGCATATGCTGACAGTGATCAGTCAGACAAGTTCATGGACATAGAATATGTTATGATGAACGTGTACATTACAGGTGTCTGCCCGAAACACCGTCCCTCCGCTATTAAATCCTGTTTCCGGAGCGTATGTCCTCCGGGAGCCACCGGGGCCCCCTCCAAAGGTCACAGTCCGCCGGTGACCCTCAACATGTTCAAGTCCAAAACCAAAGCCAACAAACTGAAGGTCGCCAACTCCGCCGTGCACGTGCTGCACGAAGGCACGGACCTCCGACTGAAGTGTCCGGTGTCCGGGAAGCCCGGCCAGCGGCCCCCGGTGACCTGGCTTAAAGACGGGAAACCCGTGCAGTACTCCACGAACCCCAAAGCCCACGTCAAGATGTCGCACCTGGGCGCGATCAAGATCCGTTCGCTGCGGAAGGCCGACGCCGGGACATACACCTGCCGCGCCGGGAGCGTCCAGGAGTCGGTGCAGCTGAAGGTCGTCAGCCGGACGGTGTCGACGAAACAGCCCAGCAGTCCGCTGTTCGTGGGCGGCAGCACCGGGAACACCATCCAACGGTTTTACGCCAACTCGACGGACGCGCTGCGGATCCTCCAGACGGTGTCCCAGAAGACCACGCCCTTCTCCAACGCCATCGCGGATAATAACGGGAACACCGCGGAACAGACGCGGTACTATGCGGACCAGAGCCCGGTGACGGAGCTCCCGGCGCTTGATTATAGTGGGAAGAACGTGGAGGAGCTGGTGATTAACGTCCTGGACATGTTCCGAAAGCCGCGGGGACTGCAGCAGATCTTCGTGGATCAGCCGCTGGAGACGGCCGGGGATGGGCAGAAGGTCAGCGTAAGGTCCAGGTCGGGACAGAGCATGGTGGCCGTGGAGTGGGTCAACGGGGAGTGGTCGCCGTGCTCCCGAAGCTGTGGAGGCGCCGGTTCGCAGGTAATTTTATTAGGCCGATTTTTGGCGGCTCGTATTTAATAAATTCGTCTTATGGCGTATTTCAGTCTGCCTAACATTGCAAATTACTTTTTCGCATCCATGAAGAAATAAATAATCAAAAATAAATAAGCATTTTTTTAAAAAAATTTGAAAAATTACATATATAAGTATACAATTAGATTTATTACTAATATGAAAAAATAACAAAATAAATAATATCTATTAATAAATATTTTAAATAGTATGTAAATTCGCGTACAAATTTTTAAAGGTGCGCAGTAGTAACTGTCAAGCGCGGCTGGACAAGGAACAGCAGGTGGCGCCACACGCACTCTGCATCTCCGCCGGTCTGAGCAGTCCGCCGGAAACAGCGCGGGTCTGCGGCTGGGAGGAGTGTCCCGAATGGCGGACCACCGCCTGGGAAGACGTACGTTGTGACCTTTATCTTTTTTATTTTTTACTTATTTATGTATTAACTTCGGTCATGTCGATGCCCGTATAGTGCGAGTCGGGGCAGTGTTTCTCCCTGGAGGCGGCCACTCAAACCCGCAATGTCTCCTGCGGCTTCCCCAACGGCAGCCGGGTGGCCGATGAGTTGTGCGGTGCGGACAGTGCCCCGCGGAAGGAGCGCGAGTGCCCCAATCCCAAGTGCAAGGCCGTGTGGTGGACCGGGCCCTGGTCGGAGGTAAGCGGGGGTCCCGACTTCCGGTTGGCACTTCCGGTTGGTCTTTTAAAAAACGTATGTTTTGTGGTTGCTAGTGTACGGTGACGTGCGGCCAGGGCGGTTACCGCAGTCGCATCCTCAAGTGTGTCTACTTCGGCACGACCAAACCGGCCGGTAATAACTGCCGGGGACTGGAGCGGCCGCCGGTCAAGGAGCCCTGCGAAGGGGTGCCGGAGTGCAATAGCGGTCAGTCACATTATTTTTTATTCCAGTAATTTTTTGTAATTTATTACAGTATTATTTTTCATTTTTTCCGTTTCATTTAATTTTCGTTTTATATTCACAATTTTTTATTTATTACTAAAAAATATTTAATATAAAAACGAATTATTATAAGTTATTGAAAACTACTCGTATTTTAAATATCTATTAAACCAAAACAAAATTGTTATTATTTTCAATAAAAAAATTTCGTTTATCTGGATTGCAGATGTTATTATAATTACGTATGTCAGTATATAAAAATATCAAATGGTTGTGACCTTTCGTAGAAGAGCCGCACTGTCGCGACCACTTCAAGTACTGCGACTTCGCCAACCCGCTGAAGCTGTGCCGGCAGAAAGCCTACCGCCTACGCTGCTGCCGGACCTGCAACGCCCACAACAGTTCGTGACCAATCAGAGAGCGCTTCGCTGCATCGTCGCCAAAATCAGCGCTGTTTCCTAATGTACAGTTCGTGCCTATTCCGCTGCAGCATTAATGTATAAATACAACAGAAGTAAAACTAGTGTAAATTGTGGTTATTCAGGATGTTTTCTAGCTGCCTTAATCACGGGTCGTGCCCGCATTTTGTCAAGCTTTGTTGTGTAGCTATAACAGTTGATCTCAGACGTTTCCTTTCCTTCATGTGTCAGCATCAATAATAAAATAAATACCGGAAAAATCTTCCCTGAATAGACCGTTTAACTGGCCGCGTTGTAATATCATTGTTTATTTATTGTTTGTTTATTGAACGGCAGGCAGGTAACCCATTAAAAGCTAGGATCGAAATCTAGCATGGGAATTTAAACCTGGCTTAATAACAGGCATCGTGATGAAAGTAGAGCAACAGCCATTAATGCAAAGAGAAGTATTAAGAAAAGGAAGGCAATCAAGTTATGGCAACATGTTTCAGTGCATAACGGAAAACAGCAAGCGAGCTGCTACTAAGAATGTCGTTTCCGGCCTCGGTTAGCTGGCTCATAACGTTGTTCAGCCTCCATGCCAACGTGGACTTCCCTGTCCTTGTCCTTCCCTGTCCTTCGATGAAGGTCCTGTTTCCGCTTCGAAGGCTGTACGGTTTGGCATGCTGCTTTACGACGATCATTTCGCTCAGGTAGTGGGGCACTTGGAACTTCTCCGGGTGCAGAATTTTGTACAACCATGTTGCTTCCTGGTGTTTCCATCGCTTAAACAGTGGCGTTATCTCGTATTGCTTCATCCGGTCGGTGGTGGACACTTCGGCATAGTTGGCAATAGCTCGAATGGCTTTTCTTTGCGCGACAGTCAGCGGCTCCAGCGTGGACACAGGTGCTCCGCTCCACACAGTGGAGCAACGGTCCAGGTGAGACTGGACAAATGCGTGTTAAAATCCATGGTGAGCGAGTGCCGGTAATGGGATGGTAAACCGAGAAGAAGGCCAGAGCGGACAGATGTCGCCGTTTCGATTAGGAGCCCGAAGACGCGCGCCCATTGCTCCCCCTAGCCTTCCTTCTGGCCACTTGCCCCTTTATTCAATTCATTTCACAATAAACCCGTTAGAAAGGGCGGGTGGGTGGTAAGAAAAACTGCACACGTTAAAAGTCGTCAGTTTAGCAAAAATATTCAAGTTTAGCAAAAATATTCCGTTGAGATGACATCTTTGACGCTTTGACCCACTGGTTGTGAGAGATCCATGATGGTTCGGATGTCCCTGTCTTTCTTTTGGCGGACGCCCAAGGCGTTTACGACAAAGTTTTTCAGAGGCGGTTGCGTGAATGGGCCGGCAGTGTGTCCCCGGGCGACCTCTTTCTGATGCTGTTTCCCAGAGCGCGGTGGTGTTTCCGAGCTGTGTGTGAGTTGGGAGTGTGGAAAACTGTGGTCCGCGGTAGCCAAGATCGACGCCGGTTATTAAGGAAGAAACAATAAAAGAAACAAAACGTGGGTTAGGATGGGCAGCCAGCAGTCTCGCAAAGGCCTCTGGTCGCAGGGGTGTCGTGACCTTTGCGGGCACTGTGGCGATGTCAGTTGGCGTTGCGACACTGCGGAGCCTCGTAGCCGGCTCCTCCACAGGTGAGGCAGACGTGCTTGAACTGCCGCTTACATGGCTCGGTGCAGTTGGTAAAGTTGTAGTTCTTGCAGATATTGTTGCCGTCTGCGGCGGTGCTTGTCCGAAAGGGCTGCTGTTGGAGACCCGGGAATCCTTTGCGTGGTGCCGGGCACTGCGCGATGAAATGACCGCTGGATCCGCAGTTCCTGCAGGTGTCGCGCTCGTTGGGGGCCCTCTGGTTCCGGTCGCGCACGTGGACTTCCGAGGTCGCTTCCCGGTGACCGTTTTGGATGATGTCGGAGTAGGTGTCGTCGTGCTGGTGTCCCCATAGATCAAAGTTGTATGGGTGAGCCGTCATGTACGTTCGGAACTGCTTGTCGTAATCAAGCCATTTATCTACTGGGATACCACGGTCGGCGTATCGAGCCATCAAGTCTTGATACTTCAGTACTTCAGTAGAGGGATGGTCAGTTCAGGAATGACAGACGTCCGATATGCAGCGAATACGGTAAAAGCGCGGATTTATGCCGGAAATGAGTCTACTGTGACGTGTCCATCATGCGGTTTCAAAATGACATGACCTTTGCTGATCACCATTTTTGATGCTCCGTCCCTGGGCTTCTCCACCCGATTCTTTGGCAGGAGGCTGTCAAAGTCGACATATCGGGTCGGATCCAGCAGTTTGGAGCGGACTTTCTCGGGTACGGCAGGCAGATGGCGTGATTGACGATAGTGGGTATCTGCCAGGTCACCCAGTCTGCTGAATACGTCACGGCGGCCAAGTCTGTCTTTGAGAGTGCGGCGAGGGGGAGAGTCTTCGGAACGTGAGCTGGATTGCGACGTGCTCTTACCTCGATCGTTGCGGTGTCTTCCATGGCTTCTGGAGCGTTTCCGGTGTGGTCGCGGGTTGCTCTCGCTCGTAATATGACGCTGGTCATTGTCGCCGATGCGGACCCGGAGATGTGGACCCGTTGACGGGGACATACAAGCGTCCGGGTGGGGATTCAGCATTTGCAGGATGCTGTCGATCTGCTGCTGCTGCTTTTCCTGCTGCTCAATCAGGGTTCTGATGCCTGACTGCTGTGATGCCGGCAGTACAACCTGAACCTCCGAGTTGACAGCAGGCGGTGGCGGTGTTCCGGGTCCTACGCGCTTTGTCGTGGCAGCGCCTGCGGCGGGGGTTGGGTTGAGGATGTGCAAGATACTGTCCAATTATTGCTGCTGCTTGGCCTGCTGCTCAATCAGAGTTCTCAAGTCTGGCTGCTGAGATGCCGGTTGCACGACGTGAACTACTGAGTTGACGGCAGGTGGCGGTGGTGTCGCAGGCCTCCCGCGTTTTCTCGGTGGCCGGCTGGCTGGTGGTGCGGGATTGTTCTTGGGATCCTTCTTCGGTGGCATTGTGGGGTAGTTGGATGCGGGGAGATAATTTTTGAAGAGGAGATTATGGAAAGGTCACTCGTATCAGTTGTCAGTTTAGCACACAAAACTGCACACGTTAACAGTCGTCAGTTTAGCAAAAATATTCAAGTTTAGCTAGTGGCAATAATCGAGAATGAGTTCTGCATTCAGTCAGCTTAGCATGATAAGAACATCGTATCCGGGAAAGTAATATAATAGGTCAGCAAGACAAAGAAAGCAAGAGAGCAAAAACAGGTCACCCGGATTTTAACTCTAGTTAATGAATTAACTAACACATAAAGTCCAACGCGTTGGGGCACCGGCAGTCCGCTCTTCACACTATGATGGCAGCAGAATAATTTTGTGACTCCAGTCACAACAAGTTAACATTAAATAACATAGTTGCAAAAACAAACGAAGAAAGTACAGTAAATTAATACATTATTCAAGAATAAGATTTACTCATATTTCATGCTGCTGCTGGATATTAAAACTATGCTCTTAAAGCATCTCAACTGCAACTGCTTATACAGCGCTTCCAGCTCCAGGGACCAAATGACTGTTCAGGTTGGAACAGGATGTGAGGTCACGAAGCAGCTATGATTACGATTACCAGAATCGAGAAACACCAGTCCACTGTGCGGCCAGATCGCAAGCCAAATTTCTTAGAACGACGTTACGTACGAACGGAAGAAGAAACAAAACTAAAATCAGTTACAGAAATAGAATCGGCAGCATCCGATATTATGTCTAGTCATGCTATGCTCGTGGCAAGCTTGTCAGAACAGATAATCACTCTCGATTCATTCATCAACTTTCATCAACAACATTCAACTTTTCTTTCCGACATAGACAACGACATTTTTTAAGTCTTCTTTACTACATTTTTTTGCTTTCGACATGGACAACTTTAATATGCAAACGGTCCACTTGCGGTGCACAGTCGACGTGTTCTGTCCCCGCAATCCGACATCCCGTCGTTGCGCATCTGTTGGTTATTTAGCGCAAGCCGGTCCAGTATTGTTTCGCACCATACAATGTAATATCTGCCCGGAATAGTGTACGCTTTGGCTGTTGCGCAGCATGGTGGCAGGATTCATGGGCCCGGGCGAACATTGACCTCCCGAATAATAGCTGGTCGCGCCACACGTCAGGGCGTCACTGAACATCGCCTCCAGCATGTCGACGCGGCGACGCAGCGGTTTCCTGTACCAGTCGAGGAGGCGTGTCGCGGCCGGGCAGCGGCATGTGTCGTCCGTCGCACAAACGGGATTGTATTAAATTTTGAGACCGAGGTAGGGTCTGCCGGCGTCCGAGTCCAGCACGGCCAGGACATCCTCATCCAAGGTCGACAATTCATTTCCGCCGAAATTGGCACCCACAATATTCGGGATCACAAATTTCTGGCTGACGAAAAGGCGCTGGATGCGGTTCGAGTACAGAAATATGTCCTGTAGTGGAAAAAGCAAAACATGCAAATAAATAAATACAACTTAACCACATTAACGTTTTTTGCTGTAAGTACTAAACTATACTTCTTTTTAAATTTTTTTTTAATTTCAGAACATTGAATTGTCGATGCCCGGAGCTGCGGCCTAATGGTCTGATCAAAATTTTTTACGAGGAAGATTATTTCTTCTAATCGTTGGTGATGCAGAAAATTTCCGAAATTACAACTGGGACTTTCGATATGTACTCGTAACTAATTAATTCAGAATCTGATTGGATTTGGTAAAAAAATTGAAAAGTTTGGATCCAACTAGACGAAGATTAGAGTCCGTTTAGACTACCAATAGCTATCGCCATGATTCTGTTCAGTTTAATTTTGCGACAGCGCTGTTTAAGGTTCAGCCCACGCCAATTACGTTCATATTTATATGAAATTTTGTACGCGGCGAAATCTCTAGCTCATTTTACGCCACCTACTACGATCGTTGAAGCAACCGGTTTCAGCACCGCCAGGTCAAAACGGCGCAAACAGTTGCCGGCAATTTCCAGTCGCGCCAGTGTCGCTGGTAATGCAATGTCCACTCCGCCATTATTCACTGTGCTTAGCGCTGCAAAAGCGTCGATTGCAATGGCTGACATGTTATTCCATTTCAAGGCTAAATAATGCAGCTTGGCGAAGCCGCTGAACTCGTGGCGCGTGACGGTCGCCAGGGGCACGTCGAAGAGCACCAGCGTCTCCAGCGTGCTTTTGACATTCTGGAAGAATTTCTGCACCGGGAACCGCTGGTGGCCGGGAGCCAGCCGGAAATTCTTCAGCGTAACACTGACTAGATCGCGGCGCGGTAGCGGCAAGAAGTTCTCCAGTAAGTAGTGCCGCGGTGCATTGCTCGGTTGCTTGCTCTCGTCGCCGATTTGCAGCACGCTGACGTTTATCGGGATAGAATGAACGTTGAACGGAACACTGTGCTGGGAACACCGGTCCGCCGTTGCGCTGCATTTCAGGAAAATGTAAGAGGAGTTTTTTGGATCACAGTACAGAAAGGCGTCGTTTCCATAGCGGTTAGCGCAACCTGCTGTAATTTCAGGTGAATCGGCAGGGTTTGCCCCGGCCACACCGAGTAATGCGATAACTGCAGATAGCAAGATCATCGTTTATGTAATATCAGGGATATACGCGTATATAGCATTAAAGATGGGTTCTAAAATGCGGCGGTCAGGAATGCTAAGCTAACTGCATTAATGTCGCTGGCGCTGTGCCAATAACATGTTTTGCTGCAGCTGTCAGTATGTTTGCCCCAGGGCACTAGTAAGCGGCCGAAAACTGTCAAAACGACTACCACTCAGATATCAGTTCACTGCGTTCACGACACGCCTTTTAGCGCCGTGCTATAACGCAAAACAGAGTCCGCCGAAATTTTTTAGTTGACGGCAACTAATGCTCAATGGTGAGGTAAGTACTAAATCCGTAAAGCGTACGACAGTGTCGCGACCACTTCAAATACCGCGGTTGAAGCTGTGTCGACAGAAAGCGTAGGGCTGCGCTGCTGCCGTTCACAACAGTTCATGACCAATTAGAGACCGTTTCGCCACAATGCCGCAAAAATCAGCACTGTTTAATATATAACATAGAAGTAAAGTTTCTGCCGATTCCGTTGCAGCGTTAATGTACTTTGTATTAAATAAAAACACGGTACATATACGAGTATGTATGTCAGTGTGTCAATAACAAATAACGAATAATTTTTGGCTGCTCCGGCAAAATAAAAATCAACAAAACTTTAGCAGAAAAACTGCAACAAAAATGTTATCAAGAAAGACAGCGTTGGTAATAAAACTGAATAATTCGGTGATAATATTGTTATTCGCGCGTGTGCAGTACGGAACAGCCAAAGCACTCCGTCATGGGCGTCGGCGTCAACAACATTTCATCATCCGCTGTCTTTTCCGCCTTCTCGCCCTCCACTTCCCGGAGGGTTCCCGGGGGACCCTCCACTGTAACCACCGGGTCCAAATCCAGACTCCAGCGCATCTCCCGCTTGACCTTTACCAATACCCCGACGCCCTCGTGCGTCCCCATCTCTAGGCCGTCCTCCTGCCCTTCATCGATGCTAGACCGTTGCAAACCGGTGGGCGCCAACGGGGAGGTGGGGCTGATGGGTCCCGAGACGATAGAGAACGTCGTCGACAGTGTCGCCGACGCCCGCTTATGCCGGACGTTGTAGATGGCCGGTTCGGAGGTCCGCGGGAGGTTCCCGGGACGTCGGCGACTGGGTTCCCGGCGCAGTCTCAACATCACCAGGACGGCGGTGCGAAAACGCTCGTTCATCAGGGCGTAGACGATGGGATTGTAGATGGCGCTGGATTTGGCGAAGAAGGACGGGACGCTGCTGGCGTACGGGTTGAGGAGGTCGGCGTGCCCGAAGGTCCCGGTCAGGGCCACGCAGGCGTAGGGCGTCCAGGCTAGGCAAAACAGCGCCACGATCACGGCGCAGGTGGTTGCCGCCCGGATGTCGCTGGGTGTCGGAGTGTCCGAGCGGTCCGTCCCGGAGGGATCACCTAAAAACGTGACCTTTACAATCTCTGCCAAAAATTAGGTGTGTATGACCTTTACAGCCTCCTCGGTGTCGCCTACTGCGATTGGTGACGTTGGAGTTGAGGCGGTTGCGCCCGGGCGCCTCATAGCCAAACCCGACGTTCTCCATGACCTTTTGGTGGTCGGCGATGTAGCGCAGGAGTTTGCTGTAGCAGTAGATGATGATGGAGACGGGCACGGCGAAACCGATGAAGACCAGCCAGAGCGTGAAGGAGATGCTGGCCGGCGTCCCTGAGAGAAAGTCGAAGGTGCAGGACGTCTGGACGCCCTCCAGGATGTAGGCCGACCAGCCGAAGAAGGGCGGGATGCAGAGGGAGGCGGCGTACAGCCAGAGGGCGGAGATCCACACGGCCACTTGCGGGTAGGTCAGCGACCAGTGCTGCCAGTGCGTGATGGACAGGTAGCGGTCCACGGCGATGCTGGCCATCGTGCTGATGCCCACCATGCCGAACAAGCCGCCCGAGAAGCCGTAGTAATCGCAGCCTATGCCATAAACAGCACATCATAGTTTTGTCTACAACACAACTTGTACCAAACCTCTCACAGCCGCTGTATTTAATATTTAATTACCTTTAGTGTATTTTCAATCATACCCGGGTATCCCTAATTTATTCAATAAATTGAAAAACCTTTAAGATTTATAACAATAAAAATATACTGCTTTTTTCCCTTTTTAATTTTAGTTTAATATTATTTTAAAATACGTTGATTTAATGAATAACTGAAAACACTGTAATTATGTATGTAGACAAAATGCAGATAATTTTAAAATTATCAGTTCAACAGATTTTTGATTTTGAAACGTAGAACGTTCGTTGGCTGGTTTATGCATCATTACATTAGTATATTGCTGCAGTGCATCCACTGTGCTTTACCGTGTGTTAGCAGGTTTTGCTCTAATTGGTTGAGATTAACTACACTGCACTGAACAAATTCATGACCTTTGAATAGGTAAATAAATGATTAATCACGTGGTCTCTGTTGATGTTTTATTTTTACCTATTTTTCCGTACAGCCAGCGTTGCGCGAACGAACTGGTGATGAAGAAAGGAAAGGTCGTCATGCTCATGCAGAAATCGGCCACGGCCAGATTGCCGATGAGCAAATTGGAGGGCGACCGCAGCGCTTTGCACCTGTCCAACAAACAATACTAATAAACACACATATAAACAGCCGTGTTGATTTCCCCGGTGTCGCGCCATACATTAACCAGCGCGCCGGGATGCGGCCGGGTGTTGATGGCCGGAAAATTGAGTGAACTTGAAAGAGAAATGCAATTACGGCGAGAAAGTGCAGACTGCGGTGTTTGCGCGGGGAAGATCACGCGCAACAACAGCCGGGGAAAACCGTTGATACATCTGTGTATGTACGTGATGTGAATACGGTGTTTAATTTTGCGGCGATGGGGATTTTCATTAGCGTGCTACTTGTGCACTTCCGCTCCACTGGGAGCAATGTGCTGCCTTATATAAGATACAGATGAAGCTTCTCTTGTGCGTCGATGCAGTGCGCCGGAGATACGGCCATTACAAGGTTTCTGGTAAGATCGGCTAGCGACGCCGCGCAACTAGTTATTTATGCATAAACTGGGACGCTGATTACGGCCGGCAGGCAGGTAGCCAGACGTCCGGGTTATGGTTAGGGCGGCGCCGCGATGTCGACTAATTTGTGGGAATGGAGAAATTGGCGGCTTACCAGAGAAAAGCCCAGGCCAGGATGCCGTTGCCCAGGGTGCCCAGGCAGCCGATGCACAGCATGTACACGCCCGTCGCCATGTGGAACTGCAATTAGAAAATAATAACTGCCTTCCAAATATTTTTCCCGGAATGTAGAAAACAATTATTAGGTGATTTTTACAAATTTACAATTTTAAAAGATGTATTTGAAAAAGGCCATGTAACTGGTTGTGACGCAGATAATCCACTAGAGTTATGTGCTTTTTACAGCGAAACTTCAAGAAGATCGGATAATAACGGATAAATTTTTGTGGACGATTTTGTACGATCAGTATATAAGCGTTTCGTCAATTTTACTATGCCATAAACGGGATATTTCAAAAACCGGCTGATGCAAAAATAACGGCCCGTATAAACAAGCCAGATTCTTAATCTTAATTAGTAGCGTAAACGTACACAAAAAATACGGAATAATTATTAATCCTAAGCTAAACTATTAATCATTAATAGGTTAAGCATGGGTAGCGCAGTAAAGCTTAGGCTATTGCTTTAAGCGGCAGTATTACACTACCTGTATCTTTACGCAACTAAATACTAACCAAACATAGCTTCGATTTATACCGCGATTTATGATACCATAAACGATATACTGTTTATAATTTTTAGAAGATACAACAGAGCTAAGTTTTTTGGATACCGAGTTACGGTAAAACTCGATAACTCGCTACGTACCCAGGTGGGCGCCGGTAATTCTCCGTTGCGGAAGAAGACGAGCCAGTGCAGATGTTGATGCGGTTCTGAGCCGTACTGTGCCGCGGCACTTGTGTCGTTAATGCAGGACCATCCCGGAGACGAGTAGTTGGTAACACCGTTGACACTGTCGCCGATTATCCACATCTTCGTGTTCGCCGGGATTTAGAAAAATTATTTTTAACTTAAAATGAAACAGCGCAATGGAACGTCAAGGGCGTTGTTGACGGTTAGTAACTCGATAGTCACCTTTATGACTGTGGATTAGCCGCGTTTTATAGGCTCTCTTCGCTGCCATTAGACTGTGTGCGTGTACACTGCCAGTGTACAGGGTGAGCGACGCTAATTGGCGGATCATCGATCGTACCGCTGCATACATGCAATCCACTGGATATAAGCACCACAAATAATTGTTTGTGTAAAGGAAGCCCCCAAATTAATGTGACAGCGCAGCATCTGTCCACTTCATTTTAATCTGCTGTGCGACACAGTGTGTTGTTGTCTCGCTACGCTGTGCGGGAATCACCCCGTTTAATTTGCCAGCACATTCAGCCTGAACACGGGCGCTTTTCCATGGGCCCCTGGCGCAGCAATAAAAATATCCCGGCAAAGTGCTACAGACAAATTCAATCAAGACACAGGACGTGACCATGGTCTTCCCCAGACACTTACACCGCGGAAACGCCGAGTCAACACGGATTAGTCTTTCCTGTTACGCATACGCGCAGAGTGCGCATTAAAGTTGAAGAAATTTAATAATCACGCGTGGTACCAAATTCCTACCGATCTGCAGAAACCTTTCTCGCGTTGGGTTTGCTGTGTTGCGTAGTCAGCAGATTTGTCTACCTACCATGGCCATGAGAACAACTTGAATTTTTTATGCGTCAACGTCACATAAATTCATTTATTATGCAGTATTGCACGCTTTACGGAAGACTCAAAAATGCATCTAGTTTCGAAGACGATGTTAGAAATAATCGGGTTTGAATTTTTCAATAATTGTAAAATAATTTTCTGTATCGGTTCTAAAACTGCGGAAGGATGTACATATGCTATATAAATTACATAACTACTTTCAGTTAATGTCACTGACACGCACCCACGCTCATTGAACTGTGCACGTGAGCGCTCCACGTTTGTTTTAAATTAATTACGACCCGGTTGCAATCAGCTGGTGGCGTACAAACAGCTAATACCGCACTTGACTAACGGAATATTAGCTTAATTTTCATTCCGTGGTTTTCCTTGTGAGCTAGCCAACCGGTCTGTCACGTGCTACGGGAAGAGACCAGGTGGGATGATGCTGATACCCGTTCACCAAGAAAAACCGGTCCTTTGGCATGCAACGAATTAGTGGACGGTTGCGGGCTCATACGTCACTGAAAGCCCCTAGAAATGTGGCAGCGTGGCCTAACTCACCGTAGGTCCGAACGCGGGAAGTGCTCGTTTTTGGGAACGGATACGCTTTGAATCCTTTACTAATGGAGAGCCTGGGAGTTTCGGTCCGGCTTTAAAATTGAACTGTTCCATTTTCTGGCTTGCAAAATTTGGAATGCAACTGGATAAGCGCGTGATATTGCTGTTCTCGAGCAGTGTTTTAGTCTTATCGTTGTTAAAGGAAATGCTACGCTGTTTTAAGTGTGTTGCCTTTTAGTCCGGCTGATTTTTGAGATTAAAAAGCAACCAAAGCCTCAGTCATCTGCCGGACTCCGGAAGCAAAAAAACAACCAAAGCCTAAGTCATCTGCCGGACTCCGGCAGATGACTGAGGCTTTGGTTGCTAATCTCAAAAATATAAAGTAGTGTACAAGCGCTTGCATTTTTGTATTTCATAGGCTGTTGCCAATAAATTTATTTCGTTCCGCGACCAATAAAACTCACTCGCAATAATCTACTGTCATACGCCAAGCCAGTCGGCCATCTCCCTATATCAAAGGTCACTGGCTGTACTGCATCAGTATTCAGTTGTTCTGGTTTCCAGGCCAGACAAGCAAATTGTACAAGCATTAGCACTAAAAAGATGCTGTTAGCACCTCTTAGTTCAAATTACTTATTCAGCGCTTCGATGGGCTTCTAAATGTTTCGACTGGAGAAGAGTGTAAAGGTCACCAAAGCTAGTAGAACGGCGATAACCAACAATAAAAAAAACAGCCGATTATAGATAGAGTCCTCAACATTTTTACTTGATGTGTACTTAAGCTGCTGCGCTTATGGCAAGCCGATCACAGCTAAGGACAGTAGTCAGAACACAGTGACTGGTGACACGCGGTACATACCGTATTACCGATTTTTTTTTAATGCTTTGTCTTTTTTTAATTTTTTCCTACCCTGATATTTACAATACGCCGTTACGCCGTTCAATTGTAAGTATCGGGCCCCGAAAGAATCTTGTCCAGCTTCCGCCAAAGTGACCATAGCTTCACTTCGGGGTTCATCGGTTGTGCTAGTAAAGAGAGCCCTCTAGTGCGAGGCTGGACAGCAGTCATCCATCCGGCCGTTAAATGTTCCTTATCCGCCGGCAAACAAATATTGAGCCGTACATTTGCGGATAATACACTGGCGAAGTCCAGCACGAAGGATTGGCATCTAGCATTTACCCTGGTCGATCCTTTTGCTCTTCCGACGCAGCGCAGGAACCGCCCGTCAACGCCGGTCATTTTGTTGAACGACAGGTCGACTAACGCCACGACGTGTCTTACGAAGAATTGATTTAAGGAGAGGCGTCGCAGATTACTCCAGGTCTCTTTAATCTCCTGCAAGTAGCAGCTGCTTCTGTGCCACCTAGCCAGAGTCGTGGGCAGCAGCAGCTTCCGGTGTAGCAGTATTTGTGTAATGATATCTGCTATGTATGCACCTTGGTGTTGGTTGGTGATCTGAAGGCGGTGAAATCCAGCGTGGTGATGTTAATGCGAGATAATTCAGTTTGTCAGCGCTGATCGTGACAAGTCATCTAACATGACGAAGGCGTGGGCGTCCATGGACTCCATGCGGTTGTATGTTCTGCTCCAGCCTCTCCAGAGCATCGAACCCGGCAAAAGTGCCTTGCATTTGCTGGACAAGTAATTTTGCAAATGTCGGACGTTCTAAGCTGGACCGTTCTGAGCTGGATTGGCCAGGTAGCTGCAAACGGGGAAGGGCCGGTCGGCGGGCCCCGCCCTGATATTTGTCAGTTCCACCGCTTCGAGGTTGGGTCACTGGGAAAGGGCGTGCAGGTGTCCAGCAGACGGCTGGGCGGTCACTTGCCCGACGCGACTCTTCTCCCAGCTGAACGAACATATCCCACTGGCCCGGATGGAGCTGATGTTAAGTGCCGGCTTGCTGTACGCGCAGTACTCCCAATGGTCATCGCAGCCCGAAAGGGTGTAGATCTCGCAGGCGTCGGTGTGGTTGTTCTTCCTCGTCAGATTGGTCAGAAGACGCAACGGATGAGCCGATGAATAGGCCAGGGCTTTTGAGAGTAGGCGCTAGTCAGGAGTTACCGTAGAACCGGCACGAACAAAATGCGTTACATGGTAGGTACTGCACGGAGCGACCGTCATTACTTTGTTGACGGTAATGTTTTCACCGGTTTGAACTTTATTTCGAGCGCGTCAAACTGAGACTACTGTACCACACTCTAATCAACGACAATACCTTTTCGAATGCGGTCGAGGTGCTCACGCGTGCGACCAGTTTTAACTTTTAACGGACGCAGGGCTTCGTCAAGTGATGCACGGCTGGTAAGCGGTTGGTGCTGTTAGCCTGGTAAGCTGTGTTGCCTGGAAACTACTGTGCAAACTATTGAGTTGTTGAGCCACACAAGGCCAGTGACATACGTATTTTAGTATCCAGGATGAACCGGATCAGAAACTTATTTAAAAGACTTTTAGATCGTCCCGGTACACAAGAAACTTACGTATCGAAAAAAAGATGATTCCCGGCTAAGATCTATTAAGATTAATAAGTTTACCGGTTAATCATAATGTTACTCATTTGTGTACACTGTACACCAGCAGCACTCTTGTCTTTAACCAAGCTCGAAGGATAAGTTGTTACACGGAAGTTTAGGCAGTCTGACTGGTTTTACTGAGTATTTAAGGAAATCTTTACAATGTTACGGTGTGCAGAATTACTCGTCAATATTCATTAAAGCAAACTACCAAAACCATTAATTCTAACAAGATCTAAAATGTGGTATTAATTATTGGATGGTTTATCCATCGTAGAAACTATTTTGTTCAGCATGGCCGCACGCATCTATGTAGTTATCTATTATGATAATAATTAAGATTGTCAAGGCGCTGTATAAATTTGGTGAAACTTTGATTCAGCAGACTTTGCCGGGTGGATGCAATATCACAATCAGTTTCTGTAGTGACTTGTACATGGCACGACTTCACCAGTGAGTATTACTTATCTTCCGTTCACTCAAAAAGACGTTTGACATGCTCCTAAACAGTCAGTGCGTGCTTCGTAGGCTTCGATTTTAGTACAAAATCAAACACAGTAAATTAACGCCTCCTTGCACCTGGAAGGTATTCCATAAGAGCTGACGCGATTTTCTTACCAGTGTTTCGCAGCCGCTTATCGGTTATTTGCCGCTTCTCGGGTCTACTGCACAGATAGCAATAGGTTTGTCATAGTTTAATTAGTCCCCGGTTGTATGTCCGATAAGCAATGCCGATAAAGTACATAGAATACTGTTTCCTCACTTGCTTTGCTTTTCCGGTTAAGAATTATTAAAAACCGAAGTGCCCAAGCGCATTATAACAAGTGTGAAAATTATAGCCGGCTTGGATAAAAGCTTTGTATTACATTCGTTCGTAAATTTGAAGCCGCAGCCGTTCATTGTTGCTTCTGACACAAAGTAAACCTATCAAGCGCCGCCATGCTTGATTGGGCTGGGATATTTCTACTGCTCCTGTTGGCCACCTGGTCGCCCTGTCAAACCGCGCAAAATAACAACCTGCCGCATCCCGGTTGCTCCTTTGCAGATTCGCATCTAATCTGTATGGAACAAAATCTCGAAATTCCAGCCGATTTTGATGTTGATCTTATTCCATCACAGACAACGTCGATAGGTATCGCGTGTCCAACTTCTTACGATTTCACTTACTGCAACGTCATGCATGAAAATTGCGAGCCTATTCCCGTTCGTCCTTTAATATACGGAGTTGGGCTGTACGGGTTCAGAGCCAGCGGAACTAAAAGAGCGCCTTACGAGGAATTTTTACGGAACATCAGACACCAGATAAAGGCACTCCAGATCTTTAACAGTCAAATTGGCTACTTGGACAAGGAGTTCTTTCGGGGATTTCAGTTGCTTTCTCACCTCATGCTATATTTCAACGATATCCGCACGATCCACCCCAATGCCTTCCAGTTGTTAACATATCCCCATGTCCCGGTGTTGAACGCGGGCGTTATTCCGAGCCTTGAATTTGTCGAACTGCAATATAATGCCATTCAAGAAATCGATTGGTCGGTCTTTCAGCCGGTCGCACAAACGATTGTAAGTAACTGTTCTTCCAGCGTCCCGCTCGCACGGACTTTGAGAAGTTTTCTTCAAACTTAACTTTAAACGTAACTACAATCGTGAACTTTTCCCAGAAAACGCCTTCTGGTTCCATAAAGTTAACGATTTAGAAAATTATTGCTACTAACCACGCTGCCATCACAGTACAATGCAAATTTATTCGAAAGCATTCGGAAAATAAAATCCTCTGGTTTATATCTCTCGGTATGAACGCAGTCCGCTGTAACTATGCAACTTGTTAGAAGCGTCGTTCATGTCGCATGTTGTTATAATTGTCAGTTCGTGTCGCAGGTGAAAATTTATTTGCAAGACCAAAATCCTCCCCTTAAAAGCCTCAAACGCAGCGGAAGCCACTTTTCGTTGTTTTTGCAAACCCTGGATATGAAGGGAAACAGTATACAGACGGTTCCGAAGGATATTTTAAGCACTATTAGCAGCTCTGAGCGGCCCAGTCCATGGACATCTGCAGAGTATAATTTTGAGGGGCATAACCTTTGCCCATCAAAAAGCGACTGCTCATGCTGCGAGCTGGAGGAATTTATGGAATGGACAGCTAACTTCCAGAAAACAACCTCAGGATCCGGTCACACTGTGTACTTCACGTGTAATGCATCACGTTATGATCAAAGCACACGGTTTCCGCTCAACTTGCACAGCCACTGTAAGTATAACGCAGGACGGTATGTACACGCGCAATATGTGTAGCGATCGCCCTCCGATAGTGTGCTTACTTACTGTGAGATATGCCTCGACCTTGTACAAAGGACGCGCGCTTGTCCCTAGCGACGCTGTCCTTTGTACAAGGTCGAGGCATATCTCACACTTACGTACGCTCTTTCCATACGGTTTGAGCAGTATTTTTCAGTGTGCACAGAATACAGCTAGACGATCGCTGAAGAACTGTGCAAGAAATGTTAGTCCAGATGCTCCTGCAAGAATAATCTCAGTACTCACGCCGCAATTTGAAGACTAATGTATGACCGGCACAAATATCGATATGATCAGGGAAAACTTTACTGGCCCGTGTTAAGGGGAGGGGAACCGCTGATTTTTCTTTTAATCGATTTGTGTTTTAAGTCTGGAAAACCAGCTACCCTTTTATTCAGTAATCAGTGAGTCGGGATTTTTGATAAGTCCTTGCTGGCAAATAGCGTAAAACCCGAAGTAACTCGCCCCCCCCCCGCAATTAACGCCCCGTGCGGTTTTAAATGCCCCTTCCTGAGGGCCAGAAAATATTAAACGCAACTCCCCCCCCCGTCGTCCGGGGCGCCTGATGCATTTCGAGGAATACGCTTTATCACTGTGTAGACTACACGGTACAGCCTAGGCTGGGTAACCTGCACTTCTTCACAATATCTAATACTCACAAAATGGTCATTTTACTACAGAGGTCTTGATATTCCATTAAATATTATTAGTTAATCTGCAACGTCTTGTTCGCGATCTTCATTTTAAATATTTAACGCATCCCACCCCCGCAATAAACGCCCCCTCTTGAAGGTCTTGAAAAATATAAGCCCAGGGCGTCTAATTCGCTTTTACGGTACTGTATAATTATGGCAAAACTGTAATAGTGGCCCTTGTCAAATTCACTGGTGCGCTCGTTTCAACACTACTCTAGTGCTTGTACATCTGTATGCTTGGAAGCGACAGTTCACTTCAATACTTACGTACTTGTACCTTGCATGATTATGTAATAATATTGTATTCTTGCGGCGTATGTGTTGCAAGAAATGTACGTACGTATGTATCTTTCATATTTATCACCATTGTGACGTTATTAGCAGACAGTTGCATGGGAAAATGAATCCGTACTTGTTGTCGTCAAACGGCTGGAGGATGGTTGCGGCAGCTCTTATGTTTTAATCAGGCGCGGTTTAGTTCAGCCACAACGAAAAAACACCATCCAGCTGACGGGAGCAAGTACTGGGGGTCCTTGCCTAAGCAACTGTCAGCCCTTATATAGTTCTCTTGTTAGGCCCGAAGTCAACATTGCCCGGGAGAAATACAACGTGTTACGAAACACCACCCGTTGAAATTACATGCCGAGATAACGGAGAGCTGTCGACAAGCGAACCTGATCTACCACGCAGCGACGCATTCTCCCTTCGCGTTTCCGTAGCCAACGGTTTCCGCTGCCGCTTGTTTCTTTACGACATTCACACGAAGATTCTACAAATGGCTGAAACCGTTCGATCCACAAAGAAGTCTTCGGACACAGTAGCGGCGGTATGCCGTAAGGGAAACATTACTGTCGATATTTGGGATGCTGAAGCGGCAGATGTGACAGCGCTGACGATGCACAGCGATGCAAGTCCGTCATGTCAAGAAAAGCTCCACCACTTCCTGGACTTTGTTTACACGCAGAAGCCTCAAAGTCTACATAGCAGTATCGTACCACCGGTTGTTCCTATCAATCGTTGGGTTGATGAATTCCAAATCTGCACCGATACACCGCCCTTAACCATCACCTGCAACGAAACCACCGCGACATTCATGCCCAGCAATTTTTCGTCCAGTCACACGACGAAGTTGGTCTTCGCAACTAACCAGATTTTCCGGTGCAGAGTGATTTTGAATAACGTTCACAAGTATCTGCTCGAGCAGAATAATACAGTTATCGAGGACGTCGCCACGCAGCAGCAATCTGCAGCTAGCTCCTTAATTGCCGTTTGCCAAAAAGGTCGTGTTGTTCTGTCGAAAGGAGCACCGGAACAGTCGGCCTTCTCCACGCTGGAGTACTACACCGCGCCCAACCCAATGTGTCGCAGTGCCTTTCAGAAGGTCGTCGGCCGCTTGGCAGGGATGCTGGATATCGCCATTCCATTTTAGCAACGGAACTGCTTTCAGCTCGAACTTGTTTTCAGTTTTATGGATTGAAACTTTTTAGCATTCAAGAACCTTAGCCGGTGACTGATCCTGGAGTGCTGTTTTTGCATTTGGCCTTTAATTCGAGTAGTTTTCCATAATTCCAACGTGATTCAAAGATGCTAACATTTTCGAAACTAATTTCAACCATCAGTTTACCAGAAAATATACTATAATTACAATTTACAATTTTTTTTGCAAGATTCCTTTAAAGAAAGTATGCTGTGATTCCTTTGAATATAGTTTTTAACAGAAGAGCCTACACTACTGCGTCTGCTCGGTCAAGTACAGTTCGAGTATTTCGGTCAGCAGATGAGTCGGCGGCGTCGCCTGCAGATTGTCTTGAAGGTCGGCGACATGGAACGGTTCGTCGGGGCGCCGTCAAATACTAATTTGGTTACTTTGGCGGTAATCTAGCGCTTTGAAGAAGCTTACGGCTGTGTTGTGTATAGTTCGGACAAGGATGTAAGCTCACCAAACTGTTTTAGAACTGCTAACTGTAATCAGCAAAGCCTTTCAGGTTTACATATTACGCGTGCGTCGGAAAGGAAAACTGAAACTAAAATCCTATAGATCTCATAAATCAGCATTCTTAGAAATCTAGCCGATGATGCTGCGCTGATGGTGAGCGGATTCAGAACCCTCGGCCATATCACTTCAACCCGAGTCAACCGCTTACATTAGATTACATCATTCCCGCTTCCGTGAGCTCCGGTTGTCGGCGTCGGTGACCTTCTCGCAGCACCCACCGCCAAGCGGGCCGTGAATGCTGAGGATTCGCTGGCATAGGGTAGGGGACGAACATAGAGGTGTCTGAGTCATATACAATTTCGGCCGACCGGTGTGCGGGGAGACGCTGTGCAGGAAGCGGTCGTCCACGTCGCTCAGGTTGAAGTTGTTAATCAGGTTGATTGTCTGCAGGCCGTGCACCTCATAGGCACGGCTGAGGAAAATGCGCTGGATGTTGTTGTTGTACAGGTCAATCATCTGCCGACACCAAAGCCGTATTACTACTGTACTGTATCATATTAATGCTTAGCCATATTCATTAGCCTAACAGCGTTGCGCAAAAGCCCATACCTTGACGCTGCCCATCAGCGGTTGAAATGCCGACCAATCTAGCGTTGTGATATTATTGGCGTTGATACTAAGCGCATTCAGCTCCGGTACGGCTGATCCCGACCGCTCCCCCAGGGCAGAGAAGGCGTTAGCCTCGATAGCTGACATCCGGTTGGCCCCTAAATGCAGTCGCTGAAGCGCCACGAACCGGGCAAAGGTGTCCTGTGTGATCGTGGGCAAATAGACGTCCAACAATTCCAAATCTCTGAGCGTCGATTGCAGATAGACTAAAAAACCGGCGACGGGAAGACCGATCGTTGGGCGCCACCCAGATCTTGGCCAGTTCCACGGTGGTGAGGTTGGGACGGTGGAGAATGGGTGTGAAGGTGTCCAGTAGATAGCTGGGTGGGCAGAAATCACTCCAGTCGCTCCAATCTCCCAACGTGATCGAGGTGGTGCTGAGCGCGTTGGAGCTCAGATTGATCGCCGGTAAATGACATGCGCAGTATTTTCACTGGTCGCCGCAGCCGGACTGGACGAAGCTCTTGCAGAATCGAGGAATCCAGGGGATATCGGAACTGGGCGGCGAATTCGCAGGGGTCATGAGAGCAAGGAAGAACGGCAGTATAAGCAGGTAGCATAGATACCTGCTTAGCCGTAATCGAAACATCGTCTACCGAGAGAGAGCTGGAAATACAAGTATGTGCTGATTTTTTCGCGCGCTATCACTAATAATTTTATTATGGCTAATGATACACATGCGCCGAAGACGCTCAAGTGATTTTTCGTTTTCTTAGCTGGAGGCGCTCGCTGACTGGTTTGCACATTGCTGATTCTCCGTACATCATTTACTGTCCTGATTCGATCAGCTGGTTATAGCCATTTTAGTATTATCCTATTACAGGCACTTCTGATGCTATCCAAACCTAATTGTTGGGGACCACTCCCTAATTACGGTTACCAGCCCGATATAGGTTTTATAGATGAATGAATATTATAGAAAATTTTGCGGTACTCAAACACGTAACGTAATCGCACAGGCTATCTGAAACTTGATCACAATCCGAATGATTCGGATATGGTTAGTTTGTGTGATGAAAAGGCGCGCACAAGTGCCACAAGTTTAGCGAAACCGGATTTTGTCGGCACGCTACTGCGCAATCTGTGGAGTCGAAAAAAAACTTGAAAAAAGGTGTTAGTACTCTTCGGTTGTCGTGCCAAGGCCCGCCTCGGCCGGAGACTGCCTGTACGCAAAATCGCTGCAGCAAATCCCATCACCAAAAGGGCCGTAAATCTTGCTGATCCGCTGACACTGCATGGCAGACGAGCAGAGAGCCGTTTCCTCGAGGTTGAGATGCGGCCGATCGGTCTTTGAGGAGAAACTGCGCAGGAAGCGGTTGTCCACGCTGGTCAGGTTGTGGTTGTCCGCCAGGTCGACGCTCTCCACGCCGTGCAACACGTAGAAGCGGCTGAGAAATATACGCTGGATGTTGTTGTTGATCAGGACAATCCTCTAACGAACCCAAGACCCGTTAATTTCACCCTCCGTTATCACAATATAAGTGGAGCAATTATTGATGAAATTATGAGCACTCGATAGCTCCGTCCAACATTCTGGCGTAACGTGTCCAGCCAGTGTTCTAAATCGAAAAATGCGGTACAACTATGGAACTGCTCACCTTGACACTGCTCATCAGCGGCTTAAACGCCGACCAGTCGAGCGTGGTGATGTTGTTGGCGTTGATATTGAGCGTGCTTAGTTGGGGCAAGGCCGAGCCCGGCCGTTCACCAAGCGCGGTAAAGGCGTTAGCGTCAATGGCTGACATACGATTGCCCAGGAGTTGCAGTCCCCGCAGCGTCAGAAACCCGGCGAAGGTCTCCCGCGTGATCGTAGGCAGGTAGATATGAGAAAGCAGCAAATCGGTTAGCGTGGACTGCAGATTGACCAAGAAGCCGGCGACGGGAAAGGGCCGATCATCTGGAGCCGCCCAGATATTGGTTAATTCCACGCTTGTTAGATTGGGACGGTGGGGAAGGGGCGTAAAGGTATCGAGGAGGCAGCTGGGTGTGCAGAAATCAATCCAAGCGTTCCAGTCGCCAAACTCGAAAGAGGAGGCGTTGGGCGCGATGTTGCTGAGGTTGAATGCCGGTGTATCGCATCCACAGTACTTCCATTTGGCGCTGCAGCCAGAGAGGACGTAGTTCATGCAGGGCCGCCCATATTTCAGTCGAAGGTCTTCCGGCGAGGAGGTTGTGGTCTGGGACCTACCCCAGCCACCCCAGTTGGGAAGATCCCACGGCTCAAGCATAGCATGTATGCTGGTTGGAAGACCGAGCAGAAGCGGTAGAAAAAGCAGCCACCTTCGCTGTAATCGCCACATGGTCTCGTGATGATAGTTAACTGCTGCCACAACCAAAGGTATACGTAGGCGGATGTCGCTTCTCGTTATCTGCCACTATACTGTAATTTTTTGACTGCTCACGACGCTCAAGTGATTTCTCACTTGCGCCGGAGGCACTCACGGATTTCAGCGGAATGATGTCTCAATGATGAACTGTTGCGATGCATCATGCAGTAGTCAGGTTTGTTGGATATTAGCAAAGTTATTAGTCATTTGTTCTAGCAGTAGTGCTGCTGCTACGTAGTATTGCTACGTCTAGCACGGAGATTTTATGCGATGGATGGTGTCCGCGCATGACGAAAACTCTGAAGGACTACGTTCGCTTTTGTGCGGTGCAGAGATTCGGAGACCGAATGCACTTTATAAGAATCTTTTTCCTCGAAAAGATATTAGAAATTTGACATCTCGTTAAGCGTTTGAGGCAGGTCGACAAATCCAACAATAAGCTTGAAAAAAACGGCGAGTTGTGAAGGTGCTGTACGAATGAGTCATCTGTTTTGCACGGAAAGCAGCGCGGTTTACGAACGACTTCCTGGTTCATGTTATCGACCCGAGCCATGCTCATTTTCGGTTTTGGTGTATGACTAATGCCAGCCGGCTAGATTGCCTGATAAAAAGGCTAACCAAAATGCTAACCGAAGATATATTTCCACAAACACAAATCCATCATTACGTGCCAAAATCAGGAGCATTTTTAATACAGTAAATGACATACTGCAGTAGCTACAAGAAGGTTAGACTGACGGATCGGAAATATGCCCCATAAAAAGGATGGCACCGGTCCTGGTTTGTCGTATTATGAAGATCAATGGTCGATCCGCGATAAAATCTGCGTGGTATGGAGGAAAATTGTCAAACAGGCAGCTCCGAAAAGTCTGTCCAGTTCCTCAATGTACTGCTCGTTCACAAGAACACCTACTGGGTGAACAATCGCGTTTGCCGTATAAAGCCGAAAGTTTTCCTGGCCTACAAACCAACAGAACGGTCAAACGGCTGTATTGTTGTTCGGACAGTTTTACGTGCATTCAGTACTGTACGTGTATCGCTACAGCTTCTATTAATCTGCCATTTTCAAATTAAGAATGATTATTGCCACCCCGCTACACCTTTTGACTATAAAAACTTTCTCATGCAGAAGGTACTGTAATTGTCAAACTCTACAAGCTCATTGCTTTACCACTTTACCGTATAAAACACTTTTACGGTTTTACCTATAGCAAGACAGTCTTCCTCTTCCTGCTTCTTCATTTTCGCCAAGTCCTGGGAAAGCTCCTCTGCTGTGTCCCTGGGACTGCGCCCCATCAGATTCGCTATTTCTTCTCGCATTTCTCTCTTCGTGCCCAGATATGTCATAAGCAATGCAACATCTGCGCATAAGGGAGAAAACAGGACATTTCTCATAGAACCAGCTTGCTTAGCCAGATGGTTATACACGGACAAATAACACCGCATCCTTGCAATAACAGCCGTTTCCGCTGGCCCCGCCATAGTAAGCCGCTGATTTTCCGGAAGGATGTTGGCGCAAAACTACAACTAACACGCGACAAATAAAATGAATTAGAGCATGGATAAAATCGAATGCGAGAAATCCTGTAATAACATGCCTACCGGGTTTCTACTTTAGCCGTAGCAATGGGAAGCTGTCTCAAGTTTTTGTGTAAAATCATTCATCGTCTGCACACAATTTCAGTAACAAATTTTTATGTAGCTATCCAGCTCAATAAAAACTCAAACCTTGCTACCGCAAAATGAATTAAAAATGGGATAGTCTCCGCTGTATGAGAATTTTGCACTCGTATCTTTCATAATATTTTAACAGTAGTCAGCATGAACAGTTTGGGCTATAATATGGATCATATCATTACGATAACTCTTGCTGAAAAGAGAACAAATGCAAGCAATGCAAGGGCCAGGGTCAAAAAGAGGGAGGAATTTTGAGAGGGAGGAATTTCTGCGTGGTCAAAAAGAGGGAGGAATTTTTGAAGCGAGGGAGGGAGGAAATTTGAAATGGTCAAAAAGAGGGAGGAATTTTTTCGAAGTTCAAATGAAGTACTCGGAGACCTCGAACCCGGGTCCCCGAGGTCGCCACCGAGATTTCCTTACCAAGAGGAATCGCTTGGCTCGCCCTCGTGCCTAATTCAAGACATGTTGAGGGTTCGATGAAACAGAAGCACCAGTGACCTTTAGGTCGCCACGTGACCTTTGGGTCGCCACCGATTTTCATAGTGATTCCTATACATTTTGACATGCTGAGTCGAACTGAAGTACTCGGGGACCTCGAACTGGGTCCCGAGGTCGTTATTACGACATGTACCACATATACACAGTTTCCTGTGCTGGGTCGAACTGAAGTTCTGGGGGTTCTCGGACCCACGTCCCCCAAGTCGCCACCACGATTTATATTTTATATGCATAGTTTGATGTGCTTTATCAAGCCACTGCTGGGGACGTAGAAACCGGGAATATTTCTAAAAATTTTTAATTTTTTCTAAATATTTTCACTAATATTTCTTATTATATTTCTACATATTCCTAAATATATTTTTAAATATTCTAGACATTTTTCGACATATCCTTAACTATATTTCAACATATTTTTTGATAGTTATAAATATACTTCTATCTGTAATTATGTCTTAACACATTATGAATATACTTTTGATTATTTTAGAATTAAGTTTTCTGATATTTCTGTACAGATGCATATCTCCACAAATTCGAAATATTTCTCAATATTTAGAAATATTTTCAATATTTCCAACTATTTCTCAATATTTTTGGATGTCTCCAAGTACGGGCTAATGCTTTATAAGTATTACCGTTTTACGACTAGTAAGTACAAGATAACAACTAAATGAGAAGCACAACATCTAAACCACAGCAACAGGAAATAACGGACAGGTGCTAAGTCATCCTTTGTATCGTGACTTTCGTGATATGTCAATAATCTCGTGATATGCAAATATAATACAATTTCTAAATACTTTTAACTATTTGGTAATTTTTCTCAATATTTCTAAATATTTTTTTCAATATTTTCTATGATTTCTGTGAATATTTTTAATAATATTTCTACATTTTTCTAAATTTTAGATATTAAATATATTTCTAGATATCTTTGAATATACTTAGTGGTATTTTTCGATACGTTCAAATATATTTAATTATTTCTTGATACATTTCTGCATATATTTTGAAGATTCTAAATACTTTTAAATTATTTATCGCATTTCTACATATATTTTTTAATAATTCTACCTCAATAGCTCTACCAGTTTGTATCACGTAAACCGTAAACGTAAAATTTCTGATTACAGTGTTTGAGTAGATCTGAAAAATAAAATACCGTAAATTTTAAACTGTTTATTAAAACAAGGTCATTGAAAACTGGCATTTTACTTTAAAATACCTAAATATTTAAGTATTAAAATACTTAACATGCAGAATTTTATTTAACTGGAACCTCTACGTTTTTGTCCCTGCTGATTATGTTCTAATCAAATTGCTTTATGTAATGCTACTGTAGAGTTAAATCCGAACAGTACTTTCAAATCAATTTTCTTAACGGTTACCGCAAGCTTTGGATCATAAATTCATATTATAATTCGATATAATCTTTTATATTTAATCTTTGTTTGGATTCTAAAATTGTAGTTGGAATGCGACGTCTTGCTAGGACGGCATTAAATATTTGAAACAGTGATTTTTTAAAGCAAATCTTCAATGCATTTCCATTATCTGCGGATGACACATTGCAACTCAACGACACAAGACACAATGTTTCATAACGAGACTTTTTGATGTACCGGTTTGTTTCAAAACGTTCGCGCTAATTTAATGTACGGATGGCCTATAATTTTCACAATGTTTTTAAATTACTTTAAAGAATTATGGAAAAACGACTGACATCTCCTTGTATAACTTCAGTACACAGCATCATCAAAGTTTTGTTGTCGGAGTTTTGCATACATCGTACTTTCTTCCCAGCATCGCGTGTTTCTAATTTAATTTGACTATAGTGTTTTGCTGCAGGGACGACGTATATATTCGTACACAGAGTACGACTGCCCTGTAGACGATTACGTCGTCACGCCGTTGGCCATCACGGATATGGGCCAGAAGTGTGTTCTGTTCGTTATGCATGGCTGGCATTTCGGTTGTTAGCAGAGCCAGAGACTCCGCATATTTTTCGTATATTTTTCAATGCATGCAGCATCTGTGGTATATTGTGCACACCCCGAATAAAACGTTCATTTTATTCCTCGTGTTTGTCTCGCATTCGTTCCTTATAGCGGGATCAGACTTGGGCGAATTTTTGCGGAGCGGGGAAATTCTCCGCCGTTCCCGCCCCTCCTAGCTTTTTTAAAGGACGGGAGCGGGCGGAAGTTTTGGGTTTGGAGGGGCGGGGCGGGGAGGAAAAAGTGTGAGCGGGCGGGAGCGGTATTATTTCCAAGGCGGACGGAGATCAAGCATAGAACAAAATTTAGGATCGTTTACCGAAAGATTCATGTTTTTTTTTATAGAATTTCTAACGCTTTTGCAGCGAAATCGGTTGCTGGCTTCGCGCTCCGCGCGAAAATTGAATTTCTGAAGAAGAGAAAACATGAACACTGTTTTCAAAACCACATCTACGTACGTCTAAAAATGTGGTTTCTGCCATAAACGGAAGAAACATAAAAAGCACCGAAAAAACTTATGCACATATTTCATGATATGTATTTGGCGGGGGGGGGGGTAACGGAAGATTAAGCAATGGCGGGCGGAAGTGCAAAATTTTTTTGTTGCGGCGGGGCGGGGCGGAAAATTTTTAGTAAGTGCGGGAAAGGCGGAAAGCGGAGATCTCGAAGGCGGCGCAAGTCTGATCAAGGTACGTAGGTCTACTACGTATTCTTTGCATTACTAATGATTACTGAATAACCCAGATGCAGAATTATAATCCAAAAAATAATACAAAATTAATTTTAATTTCTGTTTTGAACATTGACTGCATAGTGCTTTTAAAATAATTGTTTTTAAGTCTACCAGAAAAATTTAGGAATCCATTCGAAAGTGCAAATTTAAATTTAAATTGAAAGTGTAAATAAAAATTTT